GGAGATTTTACTCAGGACCTCTCCAGCCAGACACAGTAACAACAAAGTCTCCAATGGAGAGGTTACTGGGCCCGCTCGAGCAAATCGAGGATCAACGGGAGGGCCTTTACATTACATTACATTACTCAGGACCTCACACAGCCAAGACGTGCTCAGCCACCAAACTACATGCCCAGCCAGCCCTCCAGCAGGATCTCTGCAAACCTGGATTCTCCTCTGGGCCTGGTCTAACGATCGCTAAGTGGGCCGGTCCAGCTCCCACTGCACTTGGCCTCGCACTTCCCCCTCACCACAGACCCATGGCCACAACCACAGCGTGTCATCAGAACGTATCTTGGATTCTTCCTCTTTCCTCTGGTGCTTGCTACCAAGCACTGCAGTATAGATTATCTCCCCAAAATCACATGAAAACCGAATCCCCCATCTGTAAGGGCTGTTAAGTAGTAGCCAGGTCATGTGATCAGTCCTGAAGTGGGGGTGTTGGGGGTGAGCATATAGTCTAGGGGGTTGGGCACTTGCCTTGTGTGCAGCCAACCTGGGTTCAATCCCTGGGACCATGGCTCGGAGTGACCCCTAAACAGGTGCCAGGTGCGGCCTGGTCCCCCACTCTCCCCAGTGAACTATACATAAGGCACCTCTGGACCACTCTTGTCTTCATCCACCATCCAGTCAGTGAGGATGCTGGTGTGAGAATTGTGACTGGGCCCCCAGAGGGCTCAAGACTCCTGATGCCACTGACTTCAGACTTGAGTTCCACCCGAGCCCAGCATGAGGGCACCCCCTGACCAGACACCTCGAGGCCTCATTTCCTGCTTTCTCCTCCAGGAGCCGTCGGAGTCCCCAGGCGTGGAAGCAGGTGACCGCCCTGCTTTGGGGCAGCATGATGAACCGCTTCCAGGACCTAAAAAAACAATCAAAGGAGGCACAGAAACCACAATGCTGCGTCCACGAAGAGCTTTTATTTGTACGGAACAGTTTTAAAAATACAGAATAAAATAGCTTTATCTCTACTATTATTCACAACATCTGGTCCAAATATTACATATTTTTTTAAAATACTTAAAACGTTGAATGAAGCCATGTTAGAAAAACAATATGAAAATCCTTTTTTTGTTGTTTTTGTTTTTAAAAACTCCATAAAAGAATTACACATCTCAGGAGAAAAACAAAACAAAACAAAACAAAACCCACCCCCAGATTACCCTTGATATGCGAAATAAACAAAATTCCAGAAGGGTCTATAGCCAAAGTCAGTCACGAAAACAAGGGGAAAAAAAAAGCAGCGGCATCCCCCACTGTTCAGAACAGTTAGAAATTTGTGAATGTTTCCAACGAGGACGGTTACCCACAGAAAAGGAGGTATTAACTTCAGCCGTCAGTAAGCTGGCAACTCAGGAAGGGTGTCCAACAGGCCTGGAAACACACGAGAGGATTCGAGAAGGGGCTGGATGTTGCTCGTGCCCACCACCACCAGGAAGCATGATCAGGAACCACCCCAAGAGCAGGTGCGGTGTGCGGGGAAGGCCGGGAAGGGGTCCCGGCAGCAACCCGTGCACTCACCCTGCCTGGGCCGTGTCTGAGGTGGGCGGGGGTCATCCTCCTGTGTGACCAGACCGTCAGTGGCCAGAGCCCAGAAGGCATGGCCAGTGGGAGCCGGGCCTCATCTCTCGAGCTGAGGGTGGTTCCCTAACAAGTGGCCCCTGCCAAAGACTGGCTGCATCCTGGGGGACCGGTGGGAACAGGCTGGGCCTGATAGCCATGTGGGGCCTGGTGTGCGCAGCCCCTGGACACCCCGGGCAGGTTCAGGAATGAGGCTTCTGCCGCAGATCCTTAGTTCTCTTTTCATCTGGACTGCTCACATGTGTGCCCCCCCACCCCGCCCCCATTCCCAAAGATAAGGGCTGCCAACTTCCGGTCTAAGCTACGAATACCGATGTTTCAGCAGGAACAGCTGAGCTTGCGGGCCCGAAAGGCAGGCACGGGTAAAGAAAGTATACACACGTACTAGAGATTCATCAATGGAGAAATTCTATCATTGCATGACATTGTCATGAAAATTATTATCATTCCCTCCCTGGAAAAAATGCGACTATTATCCCGGGCAGAAATGTTCTTTGACTATATGGAAATACTGCAATATTCATGCATGAACCAGGTTGTCGACATGAGAGTCAGTATTCTACAGTAGAAAGCAAATCCTGGGTATGAATTTGTTACGGTGAAAATGGGGAGACCAGCAGGGGGCTACGGATGCTTCCTTCCAGCTGGCCCGGGGGAGCCACATTCTCTGGCTGAGACATAAAAAAAGTTGACATCTGAAACCCTCTGAGAAAAAGGGTCTGTGTCCAGAAACCAAATTCCCTAGTTGAGAACGAAAACAGTTTGGCCAAGATTGGAGCCATTTCTCCTTGGCCTGTTTACCCCCTGCTGGACAAATGCAGTACACCCCATGGGGGTGGGGGTCCTCCCTCATCTCCCCACTGCCCACACTGTGAAACGGGCAGCCATGCCCCGATAAGTACCTTCTCCTCTCCACATCATGGTTCCCCAAGAAAAGGTGAAACGGTTCAAACTCAAAAGTGAAAACCCTGCCCATATCTAACTGGATGTTTGAAGCTGTTCTGATGGCCCCCTGCACATGGGGGCAGGCTGCCTCCTGGGCCTCCCCTGCAGGGGAGGTGGTTCAGTGCCCATGCTCAAAGCTGCCTTGGGAGTGGATTTGCAAACAGGAGCAGCTCTTCCTCAATGCAAAGCGCTGGCGTGTGCTGCTCGTGTGCAAGACTTATCAGCACTTCCCCACCAGCACCCGAAGACCTGGGCAAAGACGAACTTCACAGGCTGTGTGCCCCCAGTGCCGGGTTCTGCCCTTCCCTGGAGAGAGAATCCAGAGCATTCCCACTGCAGGGGTGGTCTAAAGCATCCTTCCACAGGGGTCTCCTTGCAGAAGCAGCCCCCCCGGCCCCTCCCTAAAATGTTTCAGGTAGGGTTGGGGAGGGCAGGGGATGCTGGATCTTGGCCACCAGTCCCAGCAGAGAGAACTGACCCCGGCTGCCCTGGGGAAGCTCGGCCACACCAGCCTCGGGCTACTATACAACTTCCTCCTCGTTTGTAAAACCGAGAAACCGAAGGCGCTGAGCAAAGTATGAATAGGAGGGACCGAGCGCAACTTCAACTTCCAAGGGGGCCAGGGGGCCTCAAGGGAGGGCCCAGGTTAAAGGGACTAAAGTCTTAACCAGTGTGTTCCTAAAGTAACAATGCTTTGAATACATTAAAAAAAAAAAAAGGCAGGGAAAAAGAGACCTACGAGATTAACGCATGTCAGAATTGAAGTCTTGACCCCATCTGCAGAGTCTGAGATCTTGGGCCAACAGTGCAGTGCTCTCACGCGTTCTTGTCAGAATAAACCGTGACATGTACTTTGCCGGGAGTCCAGGAAGCTGTAGTGACACAAGCACGCTGCCCCCATGCGGGGCAGGAACATGGCCAGCGGGTGGCCCCGCATGCACAAGACGCCAGGAATGCCCGCTGCCGCCAAGAACAGGAGCCCCACGCGGGGTGACGCCAGCAGCTCGACCGGGCAGAGTGGCCTCCCGTCGTCGCCGGCATCCCAGACCAAGTTCAGCAGAGGTCACTTCCTGCCCCACCCTTCCCTCACCCCCAATAATTTAGTGTTGTGCATTAGAACTCAGAGGGGGCCTTGCCCGCTGCGTCTCCCCACCTCCTTCCAGCATTTAAAGGAGAAAAGCAGCATCTCCCCCTCTGCATCAAACAAAAACAAACAAACAAAAAAACCACACACACATTAAAAAAAAAAAAAAAAAAAAAAAAACCAAGATCCAGTGGACACACAACAATCCAGAGTATCCGGAGGCAGCGAATGCCAGAGTCGGCCGGCACGGGCCATCGACCAGGGTCCTGGGGCTGCTCCAGATGGGTCCCCCAACTCCCAGTCTTCGTCTTCGCTGAACAAATTCACATAGAGCACTACGCCCATGGGGTGTCTGGGCTCTGGTAAAAGTAGTCAGTTTTGATAAATAGATTTAAGCGTTACAGTATTTACACTTTTCATGGTTATCAAGCAACAGCAACAACAACAAAAAAACAAAGAACAGCCACAAATAATGGTTACTGGCCTTCAAAAGCCACAACAAGCTTCCCTGATGGTGTCCACCGCGGCTACAGAGACTGGTTCTTTTCTTGATGCAGGGGAAGCGGGGAGGGTAGCAGGACAAGTGAAGGGGACACAAGGTAACCGGCAGGGGGAGGGGGAGGAGGGATGGGGGAGGGGGGAGAGGGTTTACACGGGAAAACACTGATCTCAAAAATCGGCTCTAGTCAATCACTTTCAACAGGAATACAACCTTTGGCGCGAACAACACACGCGGCGATCACTGACAGCCACTGAGCGCCGAGCCCACACTCGCCGGGGGACCTGCTGGTGCCTCCGTGTGGTGGCCCAGCCCCGTCACACCCACCAGGAGTGAGAGATGCCAGAGAGCGGCTTGGCAAGGAGTGAAGAATGAGGCCCGTTGGAGCCCGAGTGGCACACAGAAAGAGCAGTTGGGAACTGGCCGCAGAGCCCCGAGATGCTGTTGGCTTCCCCTGGCCCCCAGACAGACTTCCCCGGGGACAGATCTGGGCAGGGCGGAACCAGGGCACAGGTTCCCCCAGGAAGCCCACGGCTCCCCCTGCAGGGGAAGTGGGGGACAGACAGATTGGCCACTGTCAGTCGGGACTGCATGAGGACGACGCAGGTGCTCCTGAACCAGAGGGCGTCTCTCGGGTGCCGACTAAGATTTTTGGGGGTTTGTTTGTTTTGTTTTGCTGGGGGGGGGGGGGGGCGCAAAACGCTGCGGTGCTCAGAGCATAGTCCTCGCTCTGCTCTCAGGGACCACTCCTGGCGGGAACAGGGCACCAGATGCAGTGCCGGGGATTGAACCCAGGTTGGTCACATGCAACGCAAGCGCCCTACCCACCGTACTATCGCTCCGGCCCCGGACTTAAGTTTAAAAAATATATATTATATATATATATAATCTTAAAAAGGCAACAGGGACAGAAAGCCCTGAACCCAGCAGGCAGCTTGTAGGAACGCTGGCGGGCAGAGAGGGGGATGCAGAAGAGAAGGAACGGCTGTGGATGCCAGACACCCACCCCCACAGGAGGACAGGAACTTCACGGTCAGCGATCACGGCCAGCAACGGACGCTCTCAGAGGCGAGGGGTCGAGGGCTTAAATAAGGAGAGGGCGCGAGACACGCTATCGGACACTGTTCACCACCCACAACAGAAAAGCTACGTGGAAGGGCTGAGCTCTGGGGCGCAGGATGGAAATGCAGATATACAAATAGATACGCGACTGCTTAGGACTCAGCGAGGAACTACAGAGGGACGCCCCACCACGGCCGAGACACGGGCGAGCCGTGGCTATACAGGGGCCTGCGAGTCCCCGTCTGAACTCCGGCCGGTGGTGCTCTTCCGGAGGCCTTTCCACGCGTAGCCCACGAAGGTGGGGCTGATGGGCAGGTAGCTGAAGCATCTGTATTTCTTAACAATGTTCATGCCGAAGGGCAGATCGTAGGATTCCATGCCTTCCAGGGACTTGTTCCCCTTGCTTACGCCCTTCTTCCATTTCCTGATGCCTCTCTCCTCGGGAGTACCTGCAGAGTGCACACACATGCAGCAACAGAGTGATCAAAACCTGCCATGTGGGGCTGGAGTGACAGCACAGCAGGTAGGGCGTTTGCCTTGCATGCGGCCCGAACCGGGTTCAATTCCCGGCATCCCATAAGGTCCCCTGAGCACAGTCAGGAGTAATTCCTGAGTGCATGAACCCTGTGCATCGCTGGGTGTGACCAAAAAAAAAAAAAAAAAAAAAAAAAAAGAGCCCGCCATGAGCCCATCTGCTCTCCCATCTAGCAAGCACCCCCTACCCCGACCCCGGAAGACAGCAGAGAGCTGCAGGAAAGGGTGGAGAGGCCCGAGGTAGAGAGCCAAGACTCGCCTCCCCATCTCCAGACAACTCCATACAACGCAAATAAAAACGGGGTCAGGACTTTCAGTATGCCCTATAAGGCCTTCACCACGCCACCCTAACCCAGACAGACTGAGTGTTCCATACTGTGCTATTTATCGTGTGTGCAGATGAGAATGCATGTGTGTACATGTGTGCACACGTGTATGTGTGTGTACATGTGCGTGCGTATGTGTGTGTTGGGGGGGTTGTCAATTGGGCGTTTATCATGCAGTCCCCACTCATCACACTCCCCGAGGAGGGAAGGGCCCCGGGCGGCGGCACCTGTGGGCTCTGGAGCATACTCGTGGAAACCACAGGCAAGGCTGCACAGGGCGGGTCCAGAAGCCCAACCAGCCCTTGACTGGTCCCCTTGCTCTTAAAGGCACAGCAGTCAGCCTGCCCCACTTGGTCCCCTGGCCACCCACCTATCACCCACAGTCACATATTCCTATATAGTAAACATCCTTTATCAGTATTTGGTTTTGCTACTCTCTTACCAGGCCCAATTTACACATTAAACTTTCCTTATCTGTTTGAAGGCCATAGCTGGTGGTACTCAGGGGCTACTCCTGGCAGTGCCCGGGACTCTGGGGATGAAACCACAGGCTCCTGCCTGCAACGCATGGGCAGTAGCCCTCGGAGCGCCACATTAAACCTGTCATGGGTATGTAGACATAGCCAAATTACGGTATACACGGGGTTAGGTATGATCCAGTTTCAAGTACCCATTTGGGACCTTGGGATGTATCCTCTGAAATGAGGAGAAATCACTGTAATTCAGCAATAAAGCATATAAAGCTTGCTTTGGGTTCGATTCCTGGCACCACATATGGTCTCCTGAGCTCTGCCAAGAATGAGCACAGAGTCAGGAATAAACCCTAAGCACCTCCGGGTGTGATCCAAAAACTCAAAGGAACAAATAAAATCTATGAAGCTTGCTGGGGAAAGAAAAAAAAAAGATTCATGAAAGTGAAAGAAATGTTGTCTTTACTGAAGTAAAGACAGTTTTAGTTTTACCCAGGGATAGTGTGATCCTCATGAAAAAAGGAGGGCTAGATACGTAAGGAGTCTGACTGACACGAGTCTGACTGACACGTGCCACATACCTGGGATGGTGTTATCCAAAACAAAAGCCACACAGCCCCCAACGAACATCGCAGTTGTGAGAAGAACATTCAACACCTGATCAATTCCCGTTATCCCTAAAAACAAACAAAAGGAGGGGGTCAGTGGGAGGTCGCGGACACCTGCCAGCCAAGTTCATGAGCAGAAATACCTGCAGTGACACTTCAGACTACTGTGATGGGGTAGGAGAGACAGAACTGCAGGTAGGATGCCAACCTGGGTTCGAGTCCAAGCACCACTCCAAGCACTGCCAGGCATGATCCCTGAGCACAGAGCAAGGAGTAGGTACCTGAGTACCGATGGGTGTGCGCCCCACCCCCCCAGATCCTAAACTATTGCAAACACTTTCAACATTAACCACAAGCTATTTCCTGAAGGAGGATTCCTAATGAGGTAGATATGGACAAGAAATATGCAACTGAGTGGATTTTGGCACACAATGAGCTGTAAAGCAACTAGGGATAGCTTTGCAAACTAGAAACAATAACTATACATAAATGAGTAACTGTTGTAGAGCTGAAAGAAATCAGCTGAGGGGCTGGAGCAGTAGCACAGTGGGTAGGGCGTTTGCCTTGCACACAGTTGACCTGGGTTTGATTCCCAGCATCCCATATGGTCCCCTGAGCACCGCCAGGAGTAATTCCTGAATGCAGAGCCAGGAGTAACCCCTGTGCATCGCCAGGTGTGACCCACCCAAAAAAGCCAAAAAAAAAAAAAAAAAAAAAAAAAAAAAAGAAATCAGCTGAGCAATAAGAAAGCAGTCATGGCATTTGCAATTACACACACACAAATCAGAATCCTGGGTTAATAATTAAAAAAAATAAAAATAAACAATGCTGGTGAACATGGAAATAGATGCCCTCAATAGTGAGTGGGAAGGAACCTGACTTCCCCACTGGAGAGTCTGGTGGTTCTTCCAAAAGGCCAACTGGATTATCATATTACCCAGTAATTTTACTCCAAAGAAGTGAAAATTGGGTTCTCAAAACAGGTGATCCTCAAAGGAACAAATAAAATCTAGCGACAGATTCAGCATTTGTGAGTTTAAATTTACTCACGAGCACCGAAATGACGCTCATGGTGCTTTGGCAGACATGACCGAGAAATATCAGACTCATCTGAAACACAGGCCCCCAGGGGAAGGGCGGGCAAGGGGCAGACACCGGCCTGCTGGTTGGGTGCACACTGCGAGCCAGTGTCCCTTCAGGGGGTGCTTCAGCACATTTTCTGCCTTTGCATTTTTGGGCTCTGCTGGTGATCTTGCTCTATAACACACCGACACTGCTGTGTCCCACTTGCGGCCCACAACGGGACACGGTTCAATGAACACACACTGCGGGCACTGAGGTGATGTGGTTCTAACAGCCTCCATTTGCTGCTCAAATGCCGTAGCAGCTGCGGCCGGCCAGACCTACAGACCACCACAGAACAGCAGCTGAAAAATACTGTTGTGCTGCTGCTGAGAGCAAGAGAATTTTGAGGTGCTGCTGGGGAAAATCACACCCGGAAGAGGAGCTGCGTGCAGGCCCCGGGGCTGTGCTAACGGGCTGCTGTTCCCAGGAGCAGGGGCCAGGATCCACTGCTTCAGTCTCTCAGCGATTCCACAGATGGGGATTGTCATGAAAGGGGAACCAACTGCACTCAGCACTGATGTTCTAACAGTATCTATAACAGTCACAGGGGGAAGCCCCCAATGACCATCACTGGAAAGTGGAGAAACAATGGTATAAACGTTCAAAGTAATCGACTAGGCCATAAAAATGAAGGGAACAGGGGCTGGAGTGACAGCAGAGCAGGTAGGGTGTTTGCCTTGCACATGGCTGACCCGGGTTTGATTCCCAGCATCTCATATGGTCCCCCGAGCACCACCAGGAGTAATTCCTGAGTGCATGACCCAGGAGTAACCCCTGTGCATCACTGGGTGTGACCTAAAAAGAAAAATTAATTAAAAAAAAAAGGAAGGGAATAATAAGGCAGGTACAGACAGGGGTGGGACGATAGTGCAGAAGCTAGGGCATTTGCCCTGCTCACAGCTGACCCAGGTTCGATCTGTCCTCAGAGCCCACCAGGAATGATCCCTGAGGGCAGAGCCAGGACTAAGCCTCCAAAAACAGAAAATGTGCATAAATCTTTGAACAACATGGTAAGTAAAAGCTACACATACACACACGCGTGCATGCGCAAATCACATCTTGTGTGGTTACACTTATATCAGACGCCAAAATGGATGTAGGAACCAAAGTACACTAATGGCTGTCAAAGGCTGAAGAAGGAGGATGTGATGGAGATTAACTGCTTAACAGGCAGGGTATCGGAGATGATGAGATGTTTTGGAAGCCAGGTAGAAGTGACATGTATGAAACATTAAAAATGTATTAAAATGCCACTGTATAGTTCAATTTATTTATCTATTCCTATAGTTCTATCTATAACTTTTGGGGGGTGGGGGTGGGCAGAGGCTGGGAATCAAACCCAGAGCATCACATAATTGCTCTCATCCATTTCGCTTTAAAAACATTTATTGTTAAACAAACTGCACAGCGGTAGGGCGTTTGCCTTGTGCAGCCAGCCCAGCCGAGCCGGGTTCGAGTCCTCCACCCCTCTCGGAAAGCCTGGCAAGCTACCGAGAGTACAATATGCCAAACACAGTAACAAGTTTGAAAACGGAGACGTTACTGGGCCCGCTTGAGCAAATCGATGAACAACGGACGGACAGTGTTTTTGTTTGACAAACTTTACTTGAAAAAATATGCATGATATGTGTGTGTGAGAAATGGCCCTAATTCTACATGAAATATCAGCAACAAAAGCAATTTCTTAAGATGGCGTCCCTTTGTTTTTCTTTTTTTTGTTTCCTTTGTTTCTCATGGCAGCGAGGTCACTGTCACTGTCTTCTTCCCGTCGTTCATCGATTTGCTCGAGCGGGCCCAGTAACGTCTCCATCATGAGACTTGTTACTGTGTTTGGCATATCAAATAAATCCCGGGGAGCATGCCAGGCTTTGCTGTGCAGGCGGGATACTCTTGGTAACTTGCCGGGCTCTCCCAGAGAGGTGGAGGAAATCGAACCCGGCTTGGCAGGGCAAGGCAGACACCCTACCACTGTGCTATCGCTCCAGCCCTATGGCAGTGAGGTAACTAAAATAAAAAGATGTTAAAAGGGTTAATCATGAATGTGAAGTGGCGATACGCCCAGCGGAAAAACATGTCTCTGAAGCTGTTTGGGAAAAAGTATACACTTTAGTACAGAATTACGCTTTTTGAGGCATTCTCCAGAAGGAGAGGGTTGGATAAAACGACTAAGGAGACCTCAGCCAGCCTGTTCTGGGCACAAGCTCACTCACACTGAGTGCAAAGGGCTTTCAGGTAAACTGAGGCAACACAAAATCCCAATGCTCCCCCAAGAGTTCCGGAAGCCGCCAAGTCCCCTCTCATCGCCCAGATGCGTGTGAGCCGACAGCCGAGGTTCCACTCCCCCTGGAGGCTGAGTCTCCCTACCTGTGACAAGGGGGTTCTGCCGCAGGTAACTTGGAAGAACGAGCCCAAAGAAGATGGAGAAGCCAAGCACGAAGAGGTTCCGGGAAGAATTTAAATCGATGAACTGCAGGTTCGAGAGCCCGACGGCAGTGATCATGCCTGGAGAGAAAAATGCCACAAAGAGCTCCCCCACGGCCTGGTGGAGAGGCAGACCCCTCCTCTGGTCCCCTGTCCATGAGAACAGTCAGCAGGGGTCACAACACAAGTCCTGGTTGTCTCGGATCCAAATACCCTTTATATTACATTAAGACATCAACAACAACAAAAAAAAAACGAGACCCACCAAATACCTAAGGGTGTTATTGTAAACCTGTTCAGCCTCATGCAGACATCAGAGTGGGAATCCAACCTAAGAATCCGATCCCTGGGGTCGGAGCGATAGCACAGTGGGTAGGGTGTTTGCCTTGCATGCGGCCAACCCGGGTTCGATTTCCAGCATCTCATGTGGTCCCCCGAGCACCATCAGGAGTAATTTCTGAGTGCATCGCCACGTGTGACCCAAAAAGCAAAAGCAAAAGCAAAAAAAAATGTGATCCCTGCTTGGTGTCAAGACCAAACGAAGTCCTGTTTGGTGCTTAACAAGAGCTCACTTGAAGGAGGAAGGCCTGAGTCACATTAATCCGAAACATCAAGTCAATGACTCTTGACTTTAAATTCTACCTTTCACAAGACATTCAACTGGAGAGGGGCGGTAGCTTTTATGTTTGTTTGTATTGCAGCGGTATCTTTTGCAATCCGACCAGCAATGTGTTGTGACACCCAGTCTGACAGGAGGGGGTTTCCCTGGCAAAGGGAAGGAAGGAAACCAGCTTCCGGGAAGACCGTGGTCAAGGAATCAGAACTTTACCGAAGAGGGTGCAGAAGAGGGCGCCGAGCACGGGGTCCGGGAGAGAGGCGAAGAGGGCGCTGAACTTGCCAATCATGCCCAGGCCCAGCATGAGGGCTGCCCCGTACTGGATTACGCGCCGGCTGCCGACCTGCAGGACACCAGGGGAGGGGGCAAGACAGGCACAAAAGTCACCCCGAGGTCCTCCAGGAGCACCAACTCCTACCCAGGCGCCACCTGCCCAGCCCAGCCACAACCATGTGACAAAGCACAGATGATTGAGTCGGTGTTCTGTTCTGGGGTCACATCCGACGGTTCTCAGGGCCAACTCCTGACTCTGGGCTCAATACTGAACCTTTTGGTGCTCAGCGGACCAAGGGGGGTACTGGAGAACCGAACCCGGGTCGGCTGCATGCACTGCACATTATTCACTGTTGCTCCCGGCCCAGGCTGGTGATTTTCCACCACTGACCCTTAAGACCAATGCCCATCTGTGAGTATAGAAAGGTTGGAAATGGGGTTGGGGCGATAGTACAGCGGGTAGGATGCTTGCCTTGCAAGCGGCCGACTGGGTTTGATCCCCGGCATCCCATGGGTCCCCCAAGCATCTCCAGGAGTAACCTGAGCACCGCTGGGTGTGACTCAAAAGGCACTGTAGCACTGTCCGCCCATTGTTCATCGGTGTGCTTGAGCAGGCCCAGTAATATCTCTACATGAGACTTGTTGTTACTGTGCTTGGCACATCAAATATGACACAGGTAGCTTGCCAGGCGTGTTGACTCAAAAGGCAAAAATAGTAAATACAATGACTTATCTAGACTACTCCTGGCGGGAAAGGATGACCCCGCAGTGCTTAGGGGGTTAAGTGTCGCTCCCAAGCAGTGCTCAGGAGACCATGCAATGCTGGGAATCCAATTAGGGCTCTGAGCCCCGATTACTCCAGTCCTACATTACTCTTGGATTCTTAGTTAAGAGGAATTCTCACAGCGCACACCTATTAATGCACAATTATTACACAGAAAACCAGAATACCTAAGTTCCCGTCACCTTCCCCCCACCCCCCAGCCACCCTCTTCCCAGGTCAGCCCTGCTGCCTGGCTACTGCTCTGGACACTGGGTGGGTTTGGGTCCATCTGCCTGGAACCCCCTTTCCCTAACCCCCTTCCAGAGAGTCCTCAGAACAATACCCAGAGAAGATACCCAGGATCTTCTCTGCCCTGGAGCCAGGACCTCGTGGATCCCAAGGCCTGTTTCTCCTGTGGCCTCCGCAAAGTTATTTCCACCTGGCCATCTTTATCAGTGATACTTTATCCTTGCCTTCTAGAAGCTCCCATTCACCCCAGAGTCCCCAACTAGCAGAAAAAGAAGCTAACCCTGGACTCAGCAAGTCTACATACACGTGGCTCCAATGAGGCACAGCTTCTCCCAGGAAAGTACCTTCAGGACACGCTAGAGGGCGCTGCACAGATAAAGCCTGCACAGGTGAAGACGGGATGTGTTTTGTATTTGGGGGACACACCCAGCAATGCTCAGAGATTGCTCGGGGGACCATCTGGGATGCTGGGGATAGAACCAGGGTCAGCCCAGGTCATGCAAGGCAAACACCTACTCACTGTACCATGGCCCTGCCCCCCACAGACAGGCTTTGAATGTCACCCTGGGGGCTTTCCCTAAGGCAGTGAGGAGGGGATGGCTACCTAAAGCATGTCTGATTGGGGGTGGGGGGGTAAACTCTAAATAATAGTGGTGAATCTTTTATTGAAACAATGAATCTAATCAAAGCAGATAGAGTGTTAACTAGAATTCATCTGCCCCACAGGGACTGGGAGGGGTGGGGGGTAGGGTTTTATTGGGGTTCTTCATGGTAAAAAATAAGTTTTGGTAAAGGGAAATGTGCTTGATATTTGCATGACTGAGACCTAAACCTGAAAGCTTTGTAACCTTTCCCATGGTGATTCAATAAATAAATAAATAAATTTTAAAAAATAAATAAATGAAATAAAGCGTGTTAAGGTGAAGCTGAAAAGTTCAGCCCCTCCCTGGCTGTGGATCACACATCACGGGCATAATTGGCTGGGGGCTGAGGACATTTCCAATCTGAGGGCAGCCAGCCTCCTGGATGGTATCAGGACCCAGAGGGCCTAACACCAGCAGGTAAAGTATCAGAGTGGACTCTCTCTTGACTGAATCAAGGAAGGTGGTCAGGAACCACCAGTCACCGGCGCCCTGAGAGCTAAGAGTACACACCGTGGGGATTCGGGCAAACATCCCTGGTGCATCAAAGTCAAAGACTCATAATTCACGGCTTATCTGTATTTTTTTTTTTTTTTGCTTTTTAGGTCACACCTGGCAATGCACAGGGGTTACTCCTGGCTCTGCACTCAGGAATTACCCCTGGCAGTGCTCAGGGGACCATATGGGATGCTGGGAATTGAACCCAGGTTGGCCGAGTGCAAGGCAAATGTCCTACCCGCTGACTATCTCTCCAGTCCCCTGTAGTACTTTAAGAAAGATAATCTTTGAGTGCTTAAATGAGTGGGAAGAAGTCTTTATCTGACCTTTACATTTGATTGATAGTCTACCTGTCCAGAAATATCACTTAAAAATAATTTTCCTTCAAACATTTGAACACATTGTTTTATAGATTTCATTTCTCCATTGTCCTCTAGGTTTCAATATTTCTTTTTTTTTTTTCTTTTTGGGTCACACCTGGCGATGCACAAGGGTTACTCCTGGCTCTGCACTCAGGAATTATCCCTGGCGGTGCTCAGGGGACCATATGGGATGCTGGGAATTGAACCCAGGTTGGCCGAGTGCAAGGCAAATGTCCTACCCACTGTGCTATTGCTCCAGCCCCCTTATCTGTCTTTTTTAAGGACTTAAAATGGGACTGGCACTGGGAGGATGGAGCTAGGGGTGGGGTGCTAGACAGACAAGAGTCACAGGCTGAAGACCAAGTCACTGCACTGCTGTGATGCGCCAAGGTGTATGGGAGGCTCCGTGGGAGGGAAAAACCCCCAAGGGTTTGTTCCTTAACTATGGTCGAGGGATGAATAGAGAGTTCAGCAGAAGTACGCCCCGCCCCGGTAGAGAACCAGTTCTACAAAGCTCAACAGGGTCAGCCAGCCCTTAGTGGTGCACTGGGGAGCATCTCGCCTGAGGCTTGAAAAAAAATCATTTATATGTATGGAAGGTTTATCTACCTTAGATGCTGTTTTTTTTTAAAAAAAAAAAGAAAAAGAAAAACAAAAAAACACAAGGACCAGAAAGATAATACCGTGGATAGAGGCACTTGTCTTGCACACAGCAATCCCAGGTTCAACCTCCAATATCCCATATGGTCCTCTAAGCTCACCAGGAATGATCCCCAAGAGCAGTGCTCGTAACTCCTGAGCACTGTTGGGTGTGGGCCAGTAACCAAAAACAAAAACCCCAACAAAGAAACAACCCCTGAAAAAGTAGCCACTAAGCCAGTGAGAATTAATGAGTGCCAAGTGCTTGCTTCTGTCCCAAACACCAGAGACCGAGTCCGAGCTTTAACAGGGAAGGGAAACTCCTGCTTCTGCCTGGACTCGGCCCCGCCTCCCTCTGACACCCCTCTGGAACCATGTCCCTGTACTTAGGGCCACTGACCCCCGGCCTCCAGCAAGAGTGCAGGTGCCCTTTCTCGGGATTCCGCCAGACACTCTGGTCGAGGGGAGGCAGTTTCCTCTCTTCCAAGAAACACACTCAGGGCTGACCAGCCTCGCAACAGCCAAGCCTTGGTCCCAATGCCGTGCAACTGCTCCATACAGACCCAGGTAACTAACCATACTGGACTGATGGGGTGGGGCAGGGATGCTGGGGCCGGGCAGGAATCTGCCAAGGACCCCACCACCTGCTACACTTCTGCCCCTCTCCAGACCCCAGGAACGTCAGAATGCTTTAGTCTTTCCGGTTTAGAGGTCGTACCTGTAGTGCTTGGAGGCCACTCCTGGCTCTGTACCAAGGGGTCACTCCCACTGTTCAAGGCACTCAAGTGCCGCTGGACTACCTCCCCCGGCCCCAGACACTGGAGAGCGTCAGCATCCTTGGCTGGCCCAATGGTCTAGGGACAGACTCTGGCAGAGTCCCAGCACCAATCTCTCTGCCAGGCCTCACCCCTACTGCCCACAGGACTTTCTACAGAGCCAAGGCCCAAGCGTGTAAGACTAACTTTGCTTTAATGTGTCGAAAAGGGACCCCAGTGGCTACTGGCTCTCCGTGGGCCTCTGGGGACAGCCACTGCCTCTCAGACCCAAGTTCTCCTTGAAGAATCACTGGCCAGAGAAGAAGCAGAGTTCAGCCTAGTACTCGGGCGTCCTTCTCCTGGGCTCTCTTCGAGGAGGGTCTGCCCCTGCCCAGGCACTGCTGCCTGTGGGCTCCACGCAGCACCCTGGAGTCAGGCCAGTGAGAACAGACCCGGGCCGGCAGGGCCCACTACTGGGGATTCCTGCCTGCCAGGAAGTGGGCCCAACGGGACTCAGAGGGAAAAACCAATTAGCTCCCTGAAAAGACCGTTGGCAGGCAGCTCTTTCAGAATAAGCCGGCATTTCCCATGGTAATAAAGAGAATTACTCCCCAAACCACATTGGTCAGGTTGCAGAAAAGGAGGAGCAAGATTCGCTCCCTGCAGTAACCCTGAGACCCCAGGCTACCTTTGCAGGCGTGCAGAGAAAGGAAGCTTCGGGGCCGAACATCACCCCCCAAACCTCAGGTCTCACTTCTGTGTACTGGGCTGGCTCCCTTCTGGGAACTTAGTTAGAATTCCCCAAACTGAAGCATCTGGTTTCTCTTTCATCTGGTTATACCAACTCACAGGGAGCTGGGGGTGGTGGTAAAAAAAAAAAAAAAAAAAAGGAGGGTGGGGTTCTGATCTTATGTCAGGGGCTCAGCCGAAGCCTGGAAGAAACTCAGGCTCACCCCAAGCTACTCGGGCCCAGGGGCTCAGCAGAGGGAGATGGACACCTCACCGGGGCCCACCCCAAGAGGAAGCACTTTGAGGCCACCTCCAGCTCCACGCCTCGGGCTGCGTGTGAGCGAGGCAACGGGCGTCTGATGCTGAGTTGCTCTTGATAAACCCCCAGCCCGAGAGCAGGCCACTGCGGGGAGCTGGGCAGTGGGGCGCGGGGGTGGGTGGGGGGTGGGAAGGAAGGACAAATGAGGGGAATGCTCACGGAAACGGGTCTAACCCGAAAGAGAAGGGGGTTCTCACCTGGAACGGGGGGGCGCGCTCGAGTGTGTGTACGTTGGGAGTGGGAGGGGCCTTGCACATTTCCCGAGTGTGTGTGTGTGGGGGGGGGGGGGGCGCGCTCGAGTGTGTGTACGTTGGGAGTGGGGGGGGCCTCGCACATTTCGTGTGTGTGTGTGTGTGTGTGTGTGTTTGGGGGGGTGGGGGGAACCTCGCTCATTTCTCTACTGAAACACCAGGCCCAGCACCACTTCCTAACTGCTCTCACTTGCCCCTGGGGTCTCACGAAAGGCAGAAGCGATTCTTATAAACCACAAAATCGGGGCCTTCTTCCAGGGCACCCCCTTCCTTCTAGTCTCCAACAACATACCAGCCTGCCTGTTTAGCAGGGCACTGAAGTGGCACCCCCAAATCTGATGCCCGTAGTCCAGGTCTGCGGGTGTCTGACACCCTCTTTTCCCTGCCCAGGGTATCTCCTCCAGGAGGCCGAGTCCGACCCCCCTCACTTCCGCAGGCAGCCCGGCCCCAGCCCTCCACGCTAGGCTGTGCTGTTGGTCCACGTGAGGATGGCGCTACTTGTCTGTTACTTACTGGTGTGCCAGATGCCTGAACAGCAGCCAGGCAGGGGCTTGATATTAAAAAAAAAAAAAAAAAAAAAAGCTGGAGCTGGAGTACAGCGGGTAGTGCATTTGCCTTGCACATGGCCGACCCAGGTTCGATTCCCAGCATCCCATATGGTCCCCTGAGCACCGCCAGGAGTAATTCCTGAGTGCAGATCCAGGAGTAATCCCTGTGCATCACAGGATGTGACCCAAAAAGGAAAAAAAAAAAAGCTTTATACTCCAAGTCCTGCCAGGGTGTGTTCCCGACTCCTTCCCCACCAAAAAAACTACAGAGCCTGCAAAAACCGATGATGCACAAAAGTGCCTGCCCACCCAGGTCACCAGGGAGGAAACAGGTGACCCCGCTACAGACGTCAATGAGAATGGACACAGAGCTAGGGAGAGAAGACAGTCTCCCAAGCAAAGCCTGCCTTGGTGAATTCACGGAGGGGTCAGACAGGGGCCAGAGAGGTAGTAGTACAGTGGGGAGGGCGTTTGCCTGGCACAATGCCGACCCGGGGTTTCATCCCTAACACCCTATATGGTCCCTTGAGCACTGTCAGGAGTAATTTCTAAGTGTAGAGCCAAGAGTGTATCGAGGGTGCAGACAAGAAGCCGAAAGAAAAAATAAATAACAAAGAAGTATTTCATACCTTAGTGATTCCCAAAACGCCGATGTTGGGGCTGGAGGAAGTGGAGCCATTCCCGGTACCAAACACGCCATCGAGGACGCAGGAGAGGCCCTCCACAAAAATCCCCCTGAAAAGGTATGGAAAAGAGGTCAGACACACTTGACAACTAACCTGCCACAGCCATCCTCCTGCCTTGTCCCGTGGCCTCTAGGACACGCCACTCTCCCCCACTCGGCAGCTGGCACCTGCCTGCCTGGGTGAGGTGAAGGCCAGTCCCTGGGGGCTTCAGGGAAGAGGAAAACCAAGCCCAAACAGGGGCGGCACCAGGTCTCGTCTCAAGCCGCCCCCCCGTGAGCCTGCTGAGATCCCCGACGTGCTTCTCCAAGGTGATCCAAACCCAATTAACAGTCCGCGGGGCCAGACCCAGCAAAAGCCCACGGCTGCTGGGGATAACGAGGAAGGCTGAGGGCGGCTGGAGCGGGGCACGGGCAGGGCGGGTACCTGTTGATGGCGTGGACGGGAGGCGGTGGGGCACAGGAGAGCCGGGCACACGCGTAGTAGTCCCCGATGGACTCGATGATGCTGGCCACCACCGCACTCAGCATGCCGATGACGCCGGCCGCAGACACGGTGGGCAGTCCCCACTGAACTACGGGAGGGGACACGCGTGAGACCCCCGACTCCGTGGGGCAGGGCTGTTCAAACTCCTCCCACTCGCACTGGGGGCGTGAGCTAGCACGGCTGGCAGCTACAGCTTCCTGTCATGGCTGCCCAAGCCCTGGACGGCTGCCCTCACCTCTTTCCCCGTTCCAACATGCCAATCAGTGATGAGACCCACACAGGGCCACAATTTATCACCAAAGATACGATGTCTTAGGATCCACAGAGACAGGGCAGCAGGCAAGGAAACTGCCTTGCACATAGCTGATCGGGGTTCTAAGACCTGAATCCCAGGATTGGCTGCCAACACCACCAGTGTTTCAGGTGCTGCGGACCGTGCCTTTGACCCCATCTTGCACCCGGGTCTTGATCTACCTTTATGCCCTGTCACCAGACGCTGGGAAAACTGGCTCTGTTAGACAAGGCTGACGAGGGCACAGCCCAGCCGAGCTTCGACTTCAGTTCGACTAATGACTCTGAATGCCAGGCACAGTGTCTCCACGCTGACACAGAGCAGGGAATGGCCCTCGGGCTCCCGCCCTGATTTCTACGAAGGGAGACTGGAAAGCGGAACACCAGCATCCAAGTGGCCCCTCGACCAGGGGCCGCTCCCTCAACTCTTCCCATGCAACTTGGCGCCCAACACTGGGGTTAGAACCTCAGATCCAGCCCCCATTGACTCAGACCAGTTTGACAACGGTAATCATCAACACACATACCCCACCCCCCACACACACACATACACCCAATGAATGATTCCACCGATCCATGAGAAGACTATAGAAATTCTAAATCTGATTATGTTTGGGCAGCTTCTCCCACTCATCTAGTCAACTCTAGCGCTGGTTGTGTGGGTACCGTGCAGTCTACACTCGCCTTTCTGAGCAGATGCTTCCAAGTCTTGGCCACCTGACCTTACACCTTGGCAAGAAAAGTCTTGACCAGAATTTCATGCTAGTGGAACAGTAACAACAACAACAATAACATGAAAACACCCAAAAATGAACAGATTTGCTCAAGAAAGGGAGCAGATTAACCTGTGTGCTAACAAGGCCCCCCTCTGCAGAAAGGGCCTTCGTCCCCCATCGAACCCTCTAGGGACAACAAGAAGACTTCTAGGGAGCTTTCTGGAACAAAGAAGGTGCCCCATTCTGCATGCAGAACCTTTCTGGCCCTGCCCCTGCGGACTCCCAGCTCTTGGGGCCCTCAGGATACTTACACGGGTAGGGGACCTTGAACCACGGGGCCACCAGGAGCACGCCATGCCTGGAGTCCGTGCGCGCGTAGTAGCCGTACTTGGTGCTGTCGGGCGGGAACACGTCGGTCACCGTGAAGATGAAGCAGAGCAGCCAGGACACAAGGATGGCCAGGATGATCTGGAGGGGTCAGAAGGGAGCGGCCATGTCAGGTCAGGCAGAGACAGGGGGAAGCGTGGGCAGCATGAGCTCCACTGCCCCCCTTCACCGCCCCTCAATCTGCAGACACCAGCATCAGGCCCTCATGGCGGGGGTCACCGCTACAGAGACCCGATTCATGGTCACGAGCCCACCTGAGCCACGTTCTTCCACCTTCTACCTTCTCCCACTTGTGGATCAGCACCCATCTTGCCCACCCGTCCAAGGCCCAAGCAGCTACAAGTGAGGCATCAGACCAGGGATCTTCAGCGCTTCTTCGGAAAGGGAAGTCTGATTCCTGTACCCGGTTTATGGGGCCAAGACCCATTTTCGTGAGGGGCGGGTCTGACTGCTGTGAAGCGTGGTCTGGTTCCTGTGCCTGCTTTCGCTCATCGCCACCATCCGGGGAAGACTGACGCCCGGTCTCTTTCAGCGAGTCTGTCTGCTCTTATCACTGGCCACGTGTAACTCTGCCTGCTCCCGTCCCGAGCAGCAATTGGGGACCATTTCCAGCCAAAAGATGAGCCCTGTGTAACAACTGTGGCCTAGGTGCTGGCGCAATAGTACAGCGGGGAGGGCGTTTGCCTTATATGCACCTGAACCTGGCTTTGATCCCGGGCATCCCGTAAGGGCCCCCAGCACTGCCAGAAAGTGATTCTTGAGTGCAGAGCCAGGAGTAACCCCTGAGCATCACCGGTTGTGACCCCACAACAAAACCAACAAAAAGCATCTTAAACCTTGGATCAAGTGCTCAGTCTCTGGCAGGGCCAGCCCCGATGCTCAGTAATTCTACTCCTTCTTGTTCCTCCAAGTGTCTTTGCCTCGTCCCTCTGCTGGGGTATTCCACAGTACCGGCTAACAGGACCAGCACTGGAAGACCACTGGCAATGTCACCTCCCCCGAGTCTGGCTGAAAGAGTGGAGTGGTCCCAGCACCTGCAGAGCCATGCTGAGGGCCTGAGCATCTGGAACTTCGCACACTTTCAGACTTCAAGTCTGTGACCATGGCTACTCGGGGTCCCCATGCAGACACTGCCCTCCTGGCGCAGGAGGAAACCTGAGCAGAACGCCACCTGCCACTTAAGGCAACACTGTCCGGGTCGGAAATACAATTTGGCAATGGTCCACTCCTCCCCATCTCCACACCCCCTCCCGGGTCCTGGCTGTCACGCCCACGAACTGAACACCTCCAGGTACCACTTAAGCGCATTAACGGCCATGATCCAGAGACTTATAACTGAAATCTCGGAAGACAGCAGCTCGCCAAAGAGATGTCTCTGGACCTCAATTATTTCAAGTTTTGTACATCCTATACTATTCATAAAAAGCAGTACAAAATGAATTATTTAGCATCTGCCTGTGGGTAGGCTTTAGTGGTGGTGAGAAAATTCAAAATAATGGCAGAGGGAAGGTAAAATGTGATATCGAATGTAATCGATTACTGTGGACAACTTTACGAAAATAAAATTGAAAAAATAAAAATTAAACAAAAAATACAACGTGGCTACTCACTGGGAACATTTTGAAGAGCTGCAGCTTGTAGGCGGTCCATCCTTTCTTGGATTTGTAAATTGGGAGTGGAAACTTGACGTTTCTGGCATACTGAGAAAACAGTAATACTAGGAAAATCGTCCTGGGGAGAGAGTAAATAAAGTGGGGTCAAGGCTGGACACGGTCACTTTTTGTTTTGGGGCCCATGCAGTGGTGCTCAGAGACTCCTCCTGGCTCTGTACTCAGGAACCACTCCTGGCAGTGCTCGAGGAACCACATGAGATGCCAGGATTGGAACCCAGGTTAGCCGCATGCAAGACAAGTGCCTGACCTGCTATACAATCGCTCCAGCCCTCTGCATATGGCTGATTTAAAAATAGCACAGCGGTAGGGTGTTTGCCTTGCACGCAGCCAACATGGTCGACCCGAGTTCGATTCCTCCGCCCCTCTCGGAGAGCCCGGCAAGCTACCGAGAGTATTTGATATGCCAGACACAGTAACAACAAAGTCTCCAATGGAGACGTTACTGGGCCCGCTCGAGCAAATCGATGAACAACGGGAGGGCAAAAAAAAAAAAAAAAAAATAACACCAATCTTCAATGGTGACACTGGTCCCAACTCAGGCACCTAGAAAGCCACGAGCACTCTTTAACTTTATTTACTCTTTAACTGTCATCTCTCAGAAAGGCCTGAGCCGTGGCCATGTCCTCGGAGAAATGTTTACGCTTCCTGCACTCCGACATGAGGCCGCAGCATGAACCGTTTGGTTAGATGACCCAGGACACAACAAGAAGCCAAGCCCCAGGAGGTGCTCTGGGAGGACCACACCATCCAAGGGAGGAGCCTGAGGCAGACACGGGGCCACAGCAGGGGAGGAATAATGAAGACACAGCAGCCACCCGCAGCCCCGCGGTCAGGAAGGGCCCTGACAGTGCTCGCAACACGGGCCTCACATGGCAAATCTGACCGTTTCCTTCCTTCCTTTCTCTTACAGTGAGTCGAAATGACTTTTAAAAAATTTTTATTTCATTTTAGGTGCCGTGATTTACAATACTGTTCGTGATAGGGTTCCTTGCACACAATGTCCCACCTGACGCCTCCCTCCCCCCAGCTCTCAGGCTGGGCTGCCTTCGGTTTGCCTTTGTTTCCCGACTGTTTCCCACGCGTGTGAGAGATTGTCCAGTACTGTCCCTCTCCTCCTCCTGGCTGACGCTGCCCGACTTGATCCCTCCACAGAGCCACAGCACCCAGCAGTTTGCTTCTCGGCATCCGCCCCAAGGGGGCAAAACTCGAAGAGAGGACAGTGGGCAGGGTGCTGGCCTTGCATGTGGCCAACCTGAATTCGAGCCACAACATCCCATGTGGTCCCTGGAGTCCTGCTTGGAGTGATCCCTGAACGTACAGGCCTGATAACCATCGGAGGTGGCCACCAAATGAAACATACAAAGACATCTGTATTCCTACATTCACTGTGGCCCTAGTCATCATCAGCAAAGTCTGTTAACGGCGAACAGCTCTGCAAGAGCCTGGCCTGGGCGGCCACGGCCAGGGAGGTGGCGCGGAGGCATGGCTGGCCTGGCACGTGAACAAAAGGCAAAGCTTCCAGAGGTCAGACGGGCACTTCAGCAGACTCTGCTACGAGCAATAGCTGGATGTCGGGTCGGGTCAAGCCCGGCCAGGAAGGGCTCGCCCCACTCCATAGCTGGCCCCTGGCATGACTGGCTCTACCCCTGGGCAACATCGAGGTTTGGAATTGGAGGTTCAGGAATCAGAGCTGGTTTGTGGGCCCCTCCCATCTTGTCACCCCCCCCCCCCAGTCCAGGAGTGGCATTGGCCAGGGCCTCACCCCTCCCTACAGCAGGACCCTACATGTCTGTCCCCTCATAAAACAACTGGGGCTAATAATGACATGTCCTCATCACCCGAGGGCGAGCTGGCAGGGATGCGGGTTGAGGCTCTCAGAACTACACCCACTCACCGCCTGCCGGCCCAGGGCCAGGGGCTGAAGGAGGGGGGCATCAACTTCACCATCTCAATGCCGTCCTGCTAAGGTGGGCGCCACCCTGTGTGTGTCCGCCAACCCCTCCTTCTATTCTGGGGTTCTCTGTTCTACCTCAAGGGCCAGTCCCAGTTCTTTGAGCAGGCGCTGAGCCCCAGCGTTCCCAATCCCCTCTGAGGCAGTGGTGACGTCAAACCAAAGACGTGACCCATCAATGAGGGATACTAAGCCTGAACTGCGTGCGCGCGCACGCAGTTTGGTTTCTGGCAACACCTGGTGGTGCTCAGTGCTAACTCCTGGCTCTGTACTCAGGGAATCACTCCTGGCAGGCTCAGGGATGACACAGAGGTGCTGGGGATCAAGTCCGGGTCAAGTGTAAGCAAAGGTGGCCTACCCACTGTGCTATCTTTCCTGCCGCCCACTCCTGCCCTCCATGTGCTTCGAACCTGAATTAAAATGTAGGTTTATTTTCAAGTATTAGAAATTAAAAAAAAAAAAAAAACCAGAATACGGTACTGTAAACCAGTACAAAAGTTAAAAAAAAAAACCACGTGCCTCTGTTAGAGGCAGACAGGTGGGTGGGAGGCAAAGTGGGCGGGGAGGGGGGAGAGTGCACCGCGGACACTGTGGAGGGGAGCCGTCGCTGGTGAAAGGACTGGTGTTGGAACCCAATTATGAATAGCTTTGTGATTTCACAGTGATTGTTTAATAGTAATAATAAAAGAGACTTTAAAAAGCCTTAAGTCACCTTATCATCCCTTTTGTTAACTCCTCACTTCTATTTCCAAAGCTCCTTTTTGCCAGGTTTTGCATCTGCCTTTGGCAGTGGTTCTGGAGCTTCCTCGAGCTGGGTGCCGCAGCGCCCAGGATCAAAGCCAGCCCCTCCTACCTGGAGAGATGAGCTCCACCCTCTGAGCCTTCTCTCGGGCCCCAGAGCTCTTTCAGAAGGGGACGGAGACATTACAGAGCAGGTTCCAGGCAGGTGACCCAGACCTCCAGCTCTTTCAAAGGAAGTGGGAGGAACTGAGCAGATGAACACTGTTTTCCCTTTACTCGTATTCTCGAATACACCTGTGGGGCAGGCAGCCTCCGTCAAGATATGGAGGAGTGGAGGCCAGGCTGGGGGGCTTGTGTCTGGCCAAGCTGAGGGGAGACAAAGCTCTGTGCCCAGGATCCTGAGACCAAGGGGGTTAACTCTTCCTGAACATCCGTGCAGGTACACACATACGCACACACACACGCACTCTCTGCCTCTCCCTCCCTCCTTGCTGAATGATCTTCCTACTGCTTTACAATGAGTGTGCAGGCAACAGATGCCAAAATGAAGGGGGGAAAAGGCAGAGGAGGAGAAAGCAAAGGGCAGGAAGGCGGGAAGAGCACATCTTGAAGCGTGTGCTGGTCACCCACCCTTGGGCAACAGGACTGCATGGCTCTGAGTCTGCCAATGGCCCCCACAAGGCTCCAGTCCTGGCTGGGACGTGCTGCTGGGCCGGGCACTGGGGATGGGCTGTGGGTGCTGGGAGCACAAACAGTCCAGCATCTGGTCCCAGCTGGAGTTGCCCTGCCCATCCTGCTTCCCAGCCAGTCATGCGCTCAGAAGCAGCGCAGCATGAGCTTGGGGGGGGGGGGGAACGACTGCCAGTCACCCCCCCTTCCTTGGGACGGACTCCCCACGGCCTGCCCCCGCAAGTTCCTTGGGAAAGACAATGGCACCTACAACACCAACACAAACTCACACAGGGAGGAAGGCACTGCCACAAACACACACTACCACTCATGACAGCAGTCTTTTTTGGTTTGTTTTGGGGGCTGGAGCGATAGCACAGCAGTAGGGCGTTCTCCTTACACGCGGCCAACATGGCCGACGTCAGTTCGATTCCTCCGCCCCTCTCGGAGAGCCCTGCAAGCTACCGAGAGTATCCGATATGCCAGACACAGTAACAACAAAGTCTCCAATGGAGACGTTACTGGGCCCGCTCGAGCAAATCGACGATCAACGGGAGGGCCTTTATCTTATCTTTATCTTTGGGGCATACTGGGTGATGCTCAGGGGCTACTCCTGGTGGTGCTTGGGGGACCATGCGGGATGCCAGGGATCGAACCCAGATTGGCAGCATGTAAAGCAAGTGCCCAACCTGCTGTACACAGTCTCAATATGCTTTTAAATCTCTGACACTTGCATCAATGTAGATAATGGTGTCATTTAATATCTGATCTTTACTCCGGGATCTGCAATTCAGGACTATTCGCAACAGCAAGTCTATATAACAGCTCGGGCGCCTCATCAGTCTTGCAAGAGTCAGGAAACTACTTCTTCATCTTCAAATTTTTCTGTCTGATGACCAGGAAACTTGACGTGACTGAAATGTCAGTGAGTGAGATCCTTTCTTCTTTCCTTTGTATGTTTTGATGGGCCACACCCAGCAATTATCAGGGGTTACATCTGGCACAGTGCTCAGGGATTTACTCCTGGAATGCTCAGGGGACTATAACCCAGGACAGTTGCGTGCAAGACAATCGCCCTACCCTCTGTACGATGGCTCCGGCCCAAAATGAAAAGATCCTTAACTGGTGGTGATGACAAGTACAAGGAGAGCCATTAACTAAGTGAAATTACCGGAAGAAAAATAAACCAAAGGATCGGAGAGAAAGTACAGCAGGGAAGGCACTTGTACAGGTTGACCTGGCTTTGCGCCCCTCCCCCATCCCATTGTAACCCAGAAGGTCCCCTGAGCCCTGCCAGGAGTGAGCCCCAAGAGCAGAGCCAGAGTAAGCGCAGAGCACCACTGGGTGTGGCCCCAAAACCAAAAGAAAAAATCTTCAGGAAAATTTCCACTGAGGACACACCTGTTTGGTGTTGGATTTGGGGTGATGGGAGCAGCACCCCAATGCCCCCAGCACCACTGCCCTACTGGAGTGGCTTAGATCCGCCTTAGATTAAGCCTGGCGCTCTAAGAGAATGAACATGCTACAGCAGAGGAGGTTCACCCAAGCCCGTCACAAACAAGAGCACCTGTGTTGCCTCTTGTGGACACGTATCTGCTCCCACCACAGCCTCCCCGAAGGACCTCCCGCCGGGACTCTTTCCTTGGATCAGTAAAACTGTGAATTAGGGATATTAGCCTCATCTGTGCAACATGCTGGAAATATTTTCCTGTATTCATTCATAATTCAATCTCAACTGGTCTTTGAGGTGAGTTAAAGTGGAACTAGAATAAAATGCGTCCATCTTCTTTTCAATTAAGATCTTCCCCCATGTTATGAATATTTAGGTTATCTTCTACCCATATTATGCCTTTAAGTTCCATATTAAGATCTTTGGTTCGCAGAAAAATAATTTTATAGACATCTAATTCCCCCAAATACTGTTTCCTTCCATTTTTCCTATACAATTTATCCCCTCACGCTGGAGAGATAGTACAGTAAGTAGGGGTCTGCCTTGCACCCAGCCGTGTTTGCTGCCTAGAACCCCATATGGTCCTGGAAATCCTGCCAGGAATCCCTGAGCACAGAACCAGGAGTAAGCCCTAAGAATTATACTTGGGTTGGCCCCAAACCAACCAAACAAAAACAAAAACCTGACAACAATCCTGCCCTTCCCCACTGATTGCAAATGTGTTTTCACACGTTTCCCCCCTAGGTTCCATCTCCATTCCTCCTATTCCAGCTCTACCAATGTTAGCTGTTGTCGCAAGATCACCGTCCAAGGAACACTGACCCCCAGGCGATCACACAGAGGACCAAGCCTACAGACACACAGTCTGGTCTTAATACAGACCCACTATCGTTCAGATTAAGCATTAGGGACAGTGAGATGTTAACAAAATACAGCAATACTAACAATCTGTGATTAAAGTTACTGTGAAGGGCTGAAGCAACAGTAGAGCGGGCTGGCCATTTGCGTTGCATGCAGTTGACCCGGGTTTGATCCCCAGCATCCCATATGGTCCCCCTGAGCAATTCCAGGAGTGATTCCTGAGTGCAGAGCCAGGAGGAACCCCTGAGCACTGCTGGTTGTGGTCCAAAAAGCAAAGCATAAATAAGGAAACATTAAAAAAAAATTTAAAAATTTAAAAAGTTACTGTGACTGTGACCTGTCTCTCTTAAAATATTTTCTTGTCCTTCTCACTTCTGATGCACAGAAGGCAAATTCATGGGCCAGAGAGCAGGGAAGGGGTTATTTTGTTACTAAACTCTGAGCTATGTTTTAATTCTTATAAAAGCAAGCCACCAACTCCCATCTCCTATCCTTTCTGATATTAATTCTTATTTTACAGGGGAGACAGAAGGGCAGGCTGGTGATAAGGAATGTGGGAAAGGCAAGAACCAAGGCATTCAGTCATGTCACTTACAGGCAGGAGGAAGTGGTCTGGGGCACAAAGGAGGTCAGAAGTTTAGTGCTGGGGCTGGAGCGATAGCACAGCAGGTAAGGCATCTGCCTTGCATGCGGTTGACCTGAGTTTGATCCCCAGCATCCCATATGTTCCCTGAGCAATACCAGGAGTAATTTCCTGAGTGCAGAGCCCGGAGTAACCCCGAGCACTGCCGGGTATGACTCAAAAACAGAAACAAAGTTTAGTGTTTTTCTCCTGCAGATGAGAACTCTACAGCTAGGAGTGTGCAGTGGGTCAGGGTTAGAGTTCAGGGCTGTGGCAACGTGGGTCTTTGTGGAAGTCAAGAGTGACACTTATTCACCTCTTCCACATGTGATCCCACTTTACTCGAGGAAGTTTGCTGTGACCCAGGATATACAAATCAAGCATTTACTGATTTTTAAAAAATCATTTAAAAAATGCGTCTTAAAATGACTCCTCGCATTTAACATGATCCCACACAGGGCCAAAGGTGTACGAAATCATGGGTGTTGGTGTATGTGTGTGTCGTTCTTCACGCATAAAGTCAAGACTCACATTCTGAGGAGCCCCAAGGTTTAAAGATCCAGATGATGAGGAAGAGCCTATTTTAGTTATCTGTGCTTATCTCGAAAAGCACCTTATTTCTTTTGAGTCAGGGACCACATCCGGCAGTGCTCAGGGATCCCACCTGGGGTATTCAGGAGACCAGATGCCACACTAAGGATTGAACCCAAGTCAGCTGCAGGCAAACAGGCACCCTAGCTGTGCCACACTCCCCTACCCTCTCACCGATTTACTGCGGCTTGCACACACCCGTCAGCAAATATTTCCCTTTGATGTAATTATCAGCTTCACCAATTTGTCTACATGCTATTTTCCTTTAGGTTTAGTGCTTTTGACTCTTTCAATTCTTTGTATCTTTGTTACTTCATTCCCCTACTTTTATGAAGATTTTTTTTTTTTTTGCTTTTTGGGTCACACGCTGCAATGCACAGGGGTTATTCCTGGCTCATGCACTCAGGAATTACTCCTGGCGGTGCTCAGGGGACCATATGGGATGCTGCGAATTGAACCTGGGTCGACCACGTGCAATGCAAACGCCCTACCCACTGTGCTATTGCTCCAGCCACAAAGATGGGTTTTTTTAAACCTCATTTTTCTCATCTCTGAAGATATATCCTTTAAGTACTTGGTTTATCTTTTACATTATGCATTTTCTCTAGAGCTGCTCTGTTATTATGATCAAGTGCTGCTATCACCAAATTTTCTAAATTATCAGGACATGTGAAGTTTCTAATTCCCCTCTATGGGCTATTTATATAATAGTAATTTATTTTTTTTAAGTTTTTAAGCTATTTGAAAGTTTTGTTCATCCACTCATTTAAAATTTTACAGTATGCTTTTTAAAATAGTGTCTCTATCCTAAAAACTACTTTATTTCACTAAATAAATTTAAAAAAAAAATATATGACACATATGCCCCTATCCTGGAGTGGAGAATAATGAACAACCTTTGACGAAATGAAGAAATTAAGAATAATGCTGGACATTTCCATATGCATTAATATTTTGTAATGATGGATCACTGTTACTGTCCTCCCGTTGTTCATCAATTTGCTCAAGCGGGCCCAGTAACAATGTGAGACTTGTTGTTACTGTGTTTGGCATATTGAATACATCACGGGTAGCTTGCCAGGCTTTGCCATGAGGGCGAGATTCTCTTGGTAGCTTGCCGGGCTCTCTGACACAATTATTTAAAAAATGGTTATGGATCTAATGAGAATACTTGAGTTCTGAAAAGTCCCTGGTCACTTATCTACCGTGTGACCCAAGGCAACTAACTACACTTCCTTAGCATTAAATGGCGATTATACTACACAAACATACACACACACACACACACACACACACACACACAAACACAGTCTCCTGCTATTAAATGGAGATCATAACACACACACAGAGTCTCCTGCTATTAAATGGAGATTATACCACACACACACACATACACACAGTCTCCTACCAGTATTTGAGTTTCATGTAAAGGGACTTCAGTGCTAGGTAAAGGGAAGATGCACAGCCTCAGAGTTCAGCCTGTTTGGGAATGACTGCAGAATATCTGACAGAACAAGTGAAACCAAGTGCAGGCCCTCTTGTGCTACTGAATCTGTTTTAGAAAATGCTCCTCGTCTGTGAAGTCCCCAGGTCTCGGGACTATTTCCCCATGAATGGAATTCATGCCTACATATGCTCTCTAGATGCCAAGAACCCGTGGGCTCAATCCAACTCCAACTTGCACTGGTGCAGTCAATGCGAATTAAGGGGTGACACTGTTAAAAGCCATAAATGAACCACAGGTTAGAGGGGGCCACAGTGACCAGCACGAGGAGCCCACCACTTATATAGTTCTGGAAACTGGATCTCCTTTGATGCCAAGACACGCCAGCAGTACTTCCATCTCCTGTTGGCCAGCAAGTACTTCTGAGTTTCAGGTAGAGGAATTTCAGCTCATGCATGACACACCTGGCCTGATTACAAGCCAAGAGTCATTCTCCGTCACTGCATCCCCTTTTCTCAAAGTTTAAAACCTTAGAACCTTCCCTTCCAACTTCCCTTCATCACTTGTAGCTCAGCACACTTAGTCTACACGGTACACACCACTGGGATTACATGTTAAACCTGTTTGTAACTACCTGGCATAAAGCAAATCAAGTCTGAAGCATCGGACTACTCTTAGTTTAAAAAAATTTAAAGGAGGGAGAGGTCAGAGAGACAGCACAGGGGCCCAGCAGCAGCTGAGCCAGGATCAAGCCCCAGAACCCATTATGGTGGTCTCAGCACCACTAGGAGTCATCCCTGAGCAGTGCCAGGAGTAAACCCTGAGAACCTTTGGGTGCGACCAACTGTCCACCCCCAACACACACACACACACACACACACACACACACACACACACACACACACCCTAAGGTCTGTGTGAATGCTGAGACAGCACGACAGCAGGGGGAAGAAGGGGCTTTCTGGAACACTCACAGCATGGCGATGCCCCAGTGCTTGCCGGCTCGTTCGCCTGCTGCCTGGAAACCAGAGAGGCCGATGAGGGCTACTGTGGGCGTGATGGTCAGGGGCCCGATGTACTTCAGCAGAGCGCCAGGCAGGCCTAGGAGGCCGATGACCACTTCTATCAACGAGGACATGATGATGGCCCCCTGGATCTGCAACAGGAGAGGGTGCAGACAGGGAGTAGGCAGCTGAGGGACCAACCAAACGCCCCGAACACCACCTGGAACCAGAGCCGACAACTCTGCAAGGCACCCAGAGACAACAATGTACCACACAGAGCTGGGAGATGCCCAGGGACCCCACCGGAAACCTGGCGCAAGTCTGAATCAGGCCGCCCGGGCAGAGATGTGCTGTGGACACAGCCAGCTTGTGGTTTCCACTGGCAAGGAGCGTCATTTTCACGTTGTAACAAAAACCAGTCATTTAAGACCAGCCCAAGAGAGCTGCTGCACTTCACTTAAAAAAAAAACCAAACAAACACTAATCAATCACTGGCTTCCAGTATAGAATCTCAGAGAACAAAGACGAGTCTTTGTGGTAAGGTGAGTCCCAGAAGGGGACAGTATGCCGGGAGCAGAGAGACCGCTCACCAGGCTTTGGAACACCAGCGTCCACTGCGGGAGGCCTGGGTTCCCTCCCCAGGAAAGGCGATGCCCCAAAGCTCTGCCAGGCATGGTGCAGAAAACAAACAAAATTTGTTTTGAAACAAAGTTTTACTGATTAAAAAAAAAAAATGTGACGGACAGGGAGGTGTCTGAATTTACAGAAAGGGCTTGTCTGCACTAATCCTGAACAAATCCTGAACGAATCGATGAATGGTTAACAGGCTTAGGAAGAGGTGAACGAAGCGTCATCGTCCTTCCTGTCTGGGGACTTGCACTCGGTGTTCTCTTCAGGACAGGCGTCTCCACCGCGCCCCGCAGCCTCGGGCAACCACAGTGGGTCCATCAGCCTCCAAGGGTTCCGGGAGAGCCTTGGCCCTCGGCTGCTCAGGCTGGCGTGGGAGCATGTGTGCGTGTGTGAGTGTGTGTGCATGTGTGTGCGTGCACACGTGCGTAGGACAATCTATGTGTAGGCCAATACACAGAGCGGCTCTGCATGCTTTACTCCTTGGGATGGCACCGCTATCTTGTGTGCCCAGTGAAGTGTGTGTGTCCGGGGCTGGAAAGGAGACTCTTTAGCCCACGTAACTGCAAAGACACTCTCAGGCACAACCAGTGCAAAAGCTGAGAAGCAATACGAAGAAGGGGCTCGGGGAGGAAGCCCCGGTATGCTGCGTGCCCCCGACCCCGTACCCCAGAGAATACCACCAAGGCGGCATGAGCAGACAGTGCTCCCCCTTTACCTCGCGGATCCGGGGGTACCAGATATGTTCTGTGTGCAAGAGTTCCGCTGTCCCGTTGACCACTGAAACATCTTGAAAACAAAAACAAAGACAAAAGAAAAAATTTATTTTCCCTGGAATGATGCCCCGTGTTTCAACCAGAGAGATTCCGTGTACTCTTCCCAACTGCCTCCCTGTTGTGTAGGTGGGGAGATGCCCAGCCCTGCATCTGAGTTACAAAAGCACCGACTGACCGGACAGAAAGGGTGGACTCTCCCCTGCCCCGTGCTAGACTGACAGCATCTTTTCATCCACCGAGAGCTGCCAGCCTGGTGAAGAAGCCGGCCTGCTCCCGGCCATGCCGGCCTCCCTGACACCCCTGACTGGGGGGACAGAGCAAGTCAAACAGCAGGTCCATGCCAGCACCTCCATCAAATCAGCCGCGAAGGAACTCCCAGGAGCATGGAAAGCGAAAAGGGCTGGAAAACTTTGCTCCTGGAACCTCAAAATGAACAGTGTTCTCCCGAGTTCGACAGAGCAGAGCTTGAATTTTCCCCATCACCTCTCTGATTCTTTCCTGGCCTTACTTACTGGGATCACTTAAGGATATTTGCAATCCCCTCATGGTGGGGAGGAGGGGAAAGGGTGAGGATCATTTACAGAAACCAAAGCAGTCAGATGCATTTTTTTAATTAAAAAAAAAAAAGGCAGAGACGAATGGTTCCAAGAAGGGATGCTCACACAGCACAGAGAATTAGGGGTGGCTCATAAAATCCACTGAGAGAAAAAAGTGGAGAGAAAAAGAAAAAGAAAAAAAAAGCACAGATATTCTCTGTTCCACTCTATTATCCATCTATTTCATTAGCATAAAGAAAATGAGGTCATTTCTGGTTCTCAAAGGCTCTGGGGTAAGGAACAAACAAGTGGGAAGAGAGGGAGGAGGGAGGAAGGAGGCGGCAGCGGGGGATGGAGGAAGGGGGGGGAAGAGAGAGAGAGAGAGAGAGAGAGAGAGAGAACATGGCCCCCACAACGGAGTGCTCCACGCTGTCTGCTGGGGTCCTGTGCTCCCTTGCTTGGCCCCACAAAGGCCTCACCGCCAGCGCCACAGACGGGCAGAGAGCCACAGTCCAGGTCTCCCTTCCACAGCCTGCGATCAAGGTCCCCAATGACATAGGCGGAAATAACTGCAATTACCTGTGGTGTTACATTTCCATTTATCTAAAGACAGGATGGCTCGAGCAGGGGCCAGAAATGCAAAAGCACTGGCCTGAAACAGGGGTAACCTAAAAGAAACGAGACCAAAACCATGATCACGGCGTTGGGAACTCCCGAGGCAGTTCGCTTGTGACGGCGTAACCGTCTTTCCGCAGACACACACGGCGCACAGGCCCAGGGCCACGCAGCCCAGACCTCGGGGCTAGTCCTTCTCCCCTCGGCTGCTCTCCGCACCCTATCCCCACCCCACCCTGCGTTTGGGGTGGGAGGTGGTGGGCATCTCCTGCTACGCTTCTGAGCTCCCTGCGTGGGCGCTCACTGACCGCCAGCCTGCCCCGCGCAATCCCTCCTCCCCTGCAGACTCAGTCATTCTCCCACAGACATCTCCCTGTAGTTCCGTTGTAGGTCACGGCCTCCCCCAAATCGCAGAGCGGAGGCAGCATTAGAATCATGCTAGTAACCCAGATCTGTCACGAGAGAGGATGAGTTACAAAACAGGAGACATAACATTCCGTTAAACCCTACCAAGTACAGGTATTCTAACCCTCCCACCCCCCCACCCCCCCCACCCCCGCCCGGTGCCAGGGAGCAAACCCAGGATCTTACACAGACAAGGCAAGGGTGTCACCTATGAGCTACACACTCCCAGCCCTCTGGCCTTACTCTTTTTGTGAGGGGGGCGGGGGGGGGGGGGGGGTTAAGTGACCACAGGACTGTATGTGGTGCTGGTGACCCAACCAGGGTTGACTGCATGCAAGACAGGGATCATAACCCCTGCGTACTCTCCCCATCTAAAGCTGACCACCCCACTGGAGAGGCCAAGCGCCTCAGGAATGAACATGAGCAGAGAGGACTTGCTGGTTCCTGTGAAAAGGGGCCAAAAAAGACAACCCCTCCAGCCCCCGCCCCCCCCCCAAGCCTGCCCAAACTGCCTGGAAGAGGCTGCAGAGGCCCATCCACCTGGCCCCCACACCATGGCCACGGGCAATGTGAGTACTGGAGAAGCAGCGGACACCAGCAGCTGGACTGATGTGCTCTGGGTGGAACCTGCACCAGAAACACTCACTGGACAGGCGAACACAAGGGTAAGGATGTGCTGAAACACTGGCTATTCTAGTCTGAGTGGGGCTAAAAAAATGGAGATTTTTCACCCAGACAGTTCTGCGTCTTCAACAACACCCTGGGGGCTGGAGTGACAACACAGTGGGTAGGGTGTTTGCCTTGCATGCAGCAGAACTGGATTCAATCCCCAGCATCCCTGAGCACCGCCAGGAGTAATTCCTGAGTGCACAGCCAGGAGTAACCCCTGAGCATCACCAGGTGTGACCCAAAAAGAAGAAGAAAAAGAAAACCCAAAAAACCCACCATTCTGAAATGAGACGATTTGTGGAGAAGAACTTCATGGTAGACTCCATTTTCTTATTGTTAACGGTACATACATCAGCTAAGCTGTTGCAAAGTAGCCTGCAGACCCTGGGAGCCAGCTTTTCACCCTCTTGGACCCTCCAATTCCCTCTTACCACACCCAAGAAAGGCAACCCTGATCTAATAATGTAAGCCAATCTTTGGGCTGCATTTACTCTTCGCCACGGCTGGGAGTAGAGCTCACTGCTAGCGCCCACCCCCAGCACAGACAAACGGGGGTTCTGGGTTCCATCTCTGGCTTTCATTCAGTTGGTTAAATAAATGCACAGAGTTAAAATTTTAAAGAAGCAGGATGCGGGACCCGTGTCTCAGGGCAAAGCACGTGCCCTGGGTCCGATTCCTGGCACTCAGTGCCGCCTTCCTCCTCAAACCATTTTAACTGAATTTCAAAATTGACTTCTCTGCGATTTAGAGTGGTTGCAGTTTACCTGTCTCTCCCTGTACCTGTCTGAGCTGAATTAATACACTGGGTTTGGGTGTTCTCTTCACAGCCATGACAAGTGGGACAGGAAGGAGCAAGCTTGAGGGCTGGGCACTTCTCCCCCAGTATCGTGTGGGGGTACAGACTGTCCCTGTGCTCCTGGCGCCCCAGAGAGGGCCCATGGCAGGTGGCTGCTTGGGTAGGGTGAGGAGTACCCAGACCATCCACTGGCAAAGCACCTTTCCCATTCGCTGCTGGTATAAACGGTATAAAGCCTCTGCGGCGCGGCTCTCGGGCTGTGTGACTATTAAATTACCCTTTTCCAATTTTATCACTCCATCTGTATTATTAGCGTTCTGCTGTTAAGAACAGCTTTCCTTTTTCGCCAACGGTCTCCGTTTCTCTTCCGTTTTCTGAACATCGCCAGTAGGCTCCCCGTCCCTCCTGACTCACGGGTTCCTTTTTTGACTCCATTTTATAATTCATGACTCTCCTCTTTAATAATTAAGTTGTCCCAGACATGCCCAAAGCAGCCTGCTCGGGCAGGTCCCCCGCTTCTTCTGACTCCAACTCTCCCCGCCCACCCCCACAGCCTGGCCTTCCTGGCACAAGATGTTCTGGGCTCAACTTGTACTTCTCCCAGCCCCTCTTACAGGCACCCTGACTCACGCCAGGAAAATGCGTCTGGAGAAAGCCAGGTGTGAGCGCCTCCACAGGCTCTCCATCAAACGCGGGGTCTTCAGGACACCTCCCGGCCAATCCAGTGTGTTTTCCTTCCCTGTCTGTGTGGCTCCTCAATTTGGACGGCACCGAGGACCCAGATTTCCAACAGCCACACTCACCTGTGCCGGCCTAGAGGACTATGGCCATCTGGTCTACCTCATCTCATCACGGTACCTAGCACAGACCCAGGATCACACCAAGACTGCAGACAGTGCTGCAGGACTTCTGCGCCAACGACCTCAAGGACCACGTGGGCTCCAGTTCCAACCACTCCCATGAAGGAGGAGATGGTTTTTTGGGTTTTCCGGTACATGTGAAAAACTATGCTCGCGATATGGACTCTTTGCATACACCATCATTATGCGTTAAAAAAGGAAAGAAAGAAAAATCATGCTGGGAGGGCCAGAGTAATAGTAGAGCCAGAAGGGCACTTACCATGTCTGCAGCCCACCAAGTTCGGTCCCCAGCACCCCATATGGCCCCCCAAACCCGCCGGGAGTCATCTTTGAATGCAGAGCCAGGAGTAAACCCTGAGCACCACCACATGTGGCCCAAAGCAGCAACCAAACAGATGTCTGTTCTCCCAGCTCTTGCCAGCACAGTGCCGGCGACAGATGCCGTGTCAGGCTGAAGGGCGAGCCCAGGCGCTCGGGAGCTGTGGCTTGCGTTTCTCTATCACCAGATGGCTGAAGGAGCCTCTCGTTCAGTGAAGGATGGCTGTGTGACGCTGGTGTCAGATCCTGCTCTCTGCCCTTTCCTCTATATGATTTTCTCTGGTATTTATCTTTTTAAGGGTTCTTTCCTTTCTACATTAGTGGTATGGGGCATGTGATACACTACAAACACCAGCTTCCAGACTATCTGCTTGTAGTATAGTTCACAATATTAACATCAAATTTATGTCTCGACACTTAATAATATCCAACTTATTCTCCTTCTGTGATTTTCTGGAGTCCCTGATCACGTGTAAGTTCCCAAGGAACTCACTGCTGTTCTATACTTAGCTTTTAGGACTCCTAGGTCAGATCCCTAATGCATTTCGAGCAGATTCAGAGTAAGCTTTGCCTAAGGCACACATAACCTTTATCTTCGAGTTCCTGGTACTCTTCCTAGCAGAGAGGCGGGAGGGCGTGGTGGGGGGGGTGGCCCATAGCCGGCAGCTCAGGGCAGTGCTGCCTCCTCTCCCAAGCCATGAACCCCCAAGGCAGCTGCAGGCAGCTGTGATCCCCTCATCCAACATAGCAGTCTCCCCCAAGATGGGTCTGCAAGCCTCAAACACTTAAGACGGGAATGTTCGCTTCAATGCCCGAATGCAGGGGCTGAAATTCTAACCCCGGCTGCCATGGTTTTCGGAGGTGGATCTTTGGAAGGTGCAGCGGGTAGAGCACTTGCCTTGCAAGTGGCTGACCTGGTTTAATGCCCGCATCCCGTAAGATCCCGAGCACCAGGGGGTGTGCACACCCCCAGCCTTCACTCAGGTCTTCCTGCGGAAACCTGCCATGCCCCCCCCCCAATACCGCTTGTGTTGTCCTTAGAGGACAGTGCGGGCACGTGAAGTTTGAGAGGGGGCCAAGCCTACTCCCGGCTCTGTGCTTACTCCTGGGAGACCGGGCACTCATCTCAGAGGTGGAAGGGGAGGTAGGGGTCTCTGGCATGGGAAGCCGGCACTCAACCCTGGAGCCTGCCCTCCCACAGCCCACCAAACCCACAGCTTCTACAGGGGCACACCTGGTGGGGGAAAGAGGATGATGAGTGACTAGGGGAACGTGCCAGCAGAGAAAGCAACCAACAATCTGAGAACTGTGGGTGAACACATTGGGCGGAGGGGTGGGGGGGGAGCGCGAGAGTGCGAGGGGCTACGGAGAGAGCAGCCCACCCGAGACCCCCTGCAGACACTTCCCAAGAGGCCTGAGAGAGGTCTCAAGGAACCCCAAGCTGGTGGTGCGAGGCTGGCAGGGTGGCCAGGGGGTACCCACAACCACCCACGCTGCCCCTCAGGGACACGCTGCTCCATCTCCGCCTGCCCGTCCACCAGGAGTCCTGGACCCGCACCCCCACGCTGCCTCCACCTCAACAGAACGAGGCGCCAGGCATGGGTGAACGGAGGTGCCCAGTGCCACCTCCTCTCCTTAGATGCTCACTCCACTGTCTGACAACTGTCACCCTGGCACGGGGCAACAAGGTGGGGTCCCCAAGACCCAGGGCTGGGCGTAGCTGGCTGGAGGAGTGGGGTGGGGCTGCGTCCTCCGAGCTTAGGCCACTAGAGGCTTAAATTCTTCAACTTCGGGGAGGGTGCGTGCCTTGCACACGGATGACCCAGGTTTGATCCCTGGCATCCCATATGGTCCCCTAAGCCCCATCAGAAGTGATTCCTGAGTGCAGAGCCAGGAGTCAGTCCTGAGCACTGCTGGGTATGGCCCCAGGATAAACAAAAATAAAATAAAACTTATGTGCAGAATTATCCCCCCCACACACACACACACAATCTGGGGGAAAGTGTAAACCTTCTGTTTAACAGGACAGCAAGAAGCTGCTAACAGCTTTGCAAATCACCTGGGTAAGACCCTGAACCATCCCTCCCACCCATCCAATCAACCATGCCTCGCACCTGTTTTCCACTGGACATCAAACCAAAGGACAGAACAATAAATCACAACCTGCCAGGGGAACCATCCAACCCCCGCTGTACTCACTAAAGGTGGGATGGGAGGAGGACTTGTATTAGGAGACCAGAGACCCCACGCCCCTCACAAAATACACCGTGCGAACCTGACTGGACCCAAGTCCGGGGAATGGCTATAAAGGTCACTTAGACACACTCGGGAAATGAAACCCACAGAGGCCTCAGATGAGATGCTAGGACGGTGACTGCTCATCTCCTCGGGTTAGGGAGGGAACCAGAATGAGGCTACAACTTCCAAGAGGGTTTATGTGACCCCCACAAAGGCACAGACAGAAGGGGAACGGGGTTGTGGGGGGCTCCTGCCCAAACAGCTTGTGTATGCTCTGCCCTTCTCACCACGGCCACCAAGCCCAAGTTGAGAGGGACAGAGCCAAGCACCGGGACACACAGATCCCCAAGTGCTGGGAAGGGGGGTGGCTTGCCTCAGCGCTGACAGTCCCAAGGGCTGGAATTAGCCATCATAAAGCGTCTCTCCTGCACCCGAGAGAGTGGGGCAAGTCCCCCACCCCTGCCCCCGACAGGCCCCCAGAGCAGAGGGCAAGAGCAGGGCTGCTCAGGGGAAGTAGCAAAGGGGCAGGGTCCACAGGGCTGGCCCAGACCCCCAAACCTGTGGTCACAGCAGGCAGGCAGGGAGGGACGCAGGGGGCTCTAGGGAGCCTAGGATGGCTGCCCAGACTCAGTCTCTGTGGCTAACGGCACTGGCAGCCCCATGGCACACCAGCAAGGTGGATGTGGGCAATGACACGGCCCTGCCCACTCAAGCCTGCCCCACGGGCTCGGGATTCCCTAGGAACCAGCCCCGGGCCCAGGGGCTGCTGAGCAGACCTCACTCACCAAGCGGGAGTGTAACCTCGCTCCAGAGGTCCAAGCAGACAGCAAAGAACAGGGAAGCCAGGTGCTTAAAGGGGAAGCGGGCCGACACAAGCCTGGGGGGCACCCAGATCAAAGGCCAGGAGTATGGGTGGGGCACAGCCTGAGGGAGAGGGGCAGGCCAACACACCCCAAGGCATACAGACGCAAAAGGGGGAACTCGAGGCCGGGAGACTCTCCTGGCAACAGAGAGCATGAGAGCCAATGGAAGCCTGCGGGGTGCAGGGGCCCGGACCGCGGAAACGAGCCCACTCCCGCCCCTCGCCGAACCTCCTGCACCCCGGAACCCTTCTGGCCCCAACTGTTCTCGGGTGACTGCTGTGGTACCCAGAGTCGGTCTCACTCTTGAGGAAGCTCTTGCTAAGGCCCAGCAGAGGACAGCGTGGCTTGGGAGACCATCGCCAAGCTTAGGAAAGTCTGAAGGATGCCACAAGTCTTCTGACTGGGCACAAAGCTCAGGCAGGAAGGCAGGACGCGACAGTCAGACCCCAAGCCTGGCCCTCATCGGGAGGCCTCATCACCTGGATCAGCACCATACACAGTCCCTCAGCACCTCAGCGCTGAGAGCAGGGTCACCCCGATACCCCCTGCCTGCCACCTTAGGGAAGACGAGTCCTGAGACAGAAACATGCATGCACCACACACATGTACAAGCACATGCACGCCTGACACATGAGACCCTGGGATCCATCCTTGGGGTACATGTACACACACACACACACACACACACACACACACACACACACAGACGTACTCAGGCCCCTCCCCAAGCATAACATAGCAACTGGCCACGCCACAATAAGAACAGGGCCACACCATGCCAAGGATGGGGGGACCACTCCCCTGAGGCCCCCCCACCCTTTCACAGAAGGTCCAGGCACCCCCCAGCACGCTGTGGCTCTGCCCTGCATGCAAATGTGCCCGTGGATGTGCCAGCTCCACGCACACAGAGGGACGAAGAGCCCCAGGCATGCTTCCTGTGCTGTTCAGGTCAGTCACGCCATGCGGGAGAGGGGCTTACCACACAGAGCCCACCTGCCCTGAGGCGCCCCAGAGCCCTACAGGAAAAAGGGAGGCTGCCCTGCCTCCACTTCCCTTTGCTGTCACTGCTCTGCAGGTGAAGGGTCAGGCCCGGCCACGTGCCTGTGCAGACACTCCCCCGTGCCCAGCACTTCTCAGCCACGGCTCTACCCCCGTGGAAGGTCAGAGCAGACCACTTTGACCTCCTGCCTCCCACGGGGCAGCCCCCGGGCAGGATGCAGGAGCAGTAAGCCCACTGGGGCTTCTTCCCCAGGACAGACGTTATGCTGACAGAAGGTGGAAGGAAGGCAGGAGGGGCGGGGCGAGGCAAGCCCGCAGGAGGCCGCAGGAAAGCATGCACTGCCTCCACTCCCGGGTGAGCAGGGGTGAGTGAAAGGGGGACCCTGGAGGCAGTGGCGGTGGGTGGGGGAGCCTGCCAAGGACCAAGCGGGATCAGAGCCACGTTGACAAGCCGGTGCCCAAGATTGGGTGTGGGGGCGGGAGCGGAGAGGGAGGGGGGCTCCGGGGACTCGGGGCCCGGAGTGTGCACAGGGCAGGCTGGCGGCCGCTGAGCACAGCACTGGCAGGGGCAGTCGGTGAGCCAGGGAATCAGTGGAGAGCCCAGTGGGTGGGAACTGACCCCCCCACGCCCCCCGCCATTGCTAACAGAGCAAAGCCAAGAGGCTCAGAGGCGGGACCGGAGCCCAGCCCAGGTCTGCAGGAAGAGCGACCTGACCTGGCCACCTAACATGCCACAGGGGGTCCATTTCCTGACAGACAGACCCGATCCCCACCCCCACCCCCACCCCCACCCCCACCCCCACCCCCACAACCCCTGGGGCACGGACGCCACACTTGTCTCTCGTGGCCCGCCTGCCTGCGCCCCACCTCCCAGGCCGCCCACCCCCTGCTCACCTGCACCCGAAGGTGGTCTGCAGCAGAGTGGTGATGCCCACGCAGAAGAAGATGGTCCCGATGAGCTGGCTGGTGGCCCACTGGTCGTAGCCCACACACATGGCATCGGCTAGCAGGAAGGGCACAGCGATGGTGCCGCTGAAGCAGGTCAGGTAGTGCTGCGGGCGACACATAGGAGCCGAGGGTCAGCGCGCCGCCACCCCGGCCCCCCGCTGGTGCAAGGGGCCCCCGCCTGCTGTGGATGACAGCCACCCCTTCTGCCGTTGACACTCCCTTTCACACACATTTTGCCTGCTGGTATCACCCGCTCACTTGGTGACCAGAGTGTGATGCACGGGGATGTGGGACCCACACAGGGGTGTCCCCGCTCAGGACAAGCACCGATCTTTTTCTTATTCTCTTTCGTTTGGTTTTGGGTTTTCGAGTCACACCCGGACTGACTCCTGGCTCGGTGCTCCAGGGACCACTCCTGGCGGGATTCTGGGGGGACCGTATACGAGATCCCCGAGTCTGGGCCAGCTCCCGGCTGTACTCTCTTTTCCAACCCCACATCTTCCTTCTCTCACTGACTTCTCAGCCTGCTACTACTGTCTGCTCCTTCCTTTCACTACCATCAATCCCCACCGACCATTCTGGAGAGTCACAGATGGTGAAACGGTCAGTGAGTGAGTGATGAGTGAGTGAGTGAGTGAGTGAGTGTGTGTGTGTGTGTGTGTGTGTGTGTGTTTTCCCCAGAAGTCAAATTGAATTTTTCAAAATTCTGACGTCAGAAGCACCTGGTGGTTGTTCCCAGCGCCCCCCTTCCCCACCTCACCCCCAAGGCAGCCACCTTACCTGTAGCCCCAGAAAAATGCACAGGTACCAGGGGGGGACATCTTCTATGGTGTAGATCATGTCCGAGCGCTGGGGGTCCAGGCTGCCGGTGCTGTCCAGGGTCTCGGCCAGGGAGCTCTGCAGGCGGGATGGAGAAGAGGAGGCACGAGTCAGCTTGAGGCACGGTCGGCTCCTGCCCGGGAACCCGCCACCCAGTGCCCTTAACATGGCAGATGCGACGCTCACTGCGCCTGCTCCAGGAAAGGGGGTCTGGGAGGTCTAGTGTTAGCATCTGGGGGCCAGGGAATCCTGGAAGAGCACCTGGCCTTGCTGGGCACTTCATATTCATACCCTGGGGAGCACACCTCTGGCACAAGAGAGGGGTCCCCAAGGTGAACTCACCGAGTGACTGCCCTTGGAAGGGGTCGGGGGTGCAAACTGAAGACAGGCTAAAAAATGGAAACTGCCTCCACCAGAGCCCCGGTCTGCACCGCTGAGCTCGTCTCTGCATGGAGAGCCCCCTCTCTCCGGGCCGAGGAATCACGCTTGGCTCTCCCGCCAAAACAGCAGAGAGATTATCCCAGCTACTTGGACAGAACCAAACACTTTAGGACTAATACTTCAAGGACACGCTTTTCTGTCCCTACCCACACCCCACAACATGGCGACTAGTTGGTTTCCTCTGGGGCCATCCCAGGAGTTGTCAGGGCTCGAACCCGGGGCTGTGTCCACTCTGTCCCCTCCCTGACACTCTTCACGTTGGGACCTCATCTGACATCCACTGGGGAGTTGCACCTGGAGGAGTGCCCAGCTCCTGACTGCACTGGGGGGAGGGGGGTGCGCCACGCGCTCAGGAGCGACAATACAGCAGGGAGGGTGCTTGCCTTGCATGCAGTCAACCTGGGTTCGATCCCCCACATCCCTAGGGTCCCCCAAGCCCCCCGGGAGTAATTCCAGAATGAACAGCCAGAAACTACCCCTATGCATCGCCAGGTGTGGCTGCAAAAACACACAATACACCTAACTATGCTAGGAGATCATTGTGGGTGCTGGAGACAGGGCCCAGGGCATGGGCTTACCCTGCTGAACTATTTATCTGGGCAAGTTACAAAAATAAATTAAAAAGTGCTATGTGTGGAGTGCCCTCTTCAGCCACAATCTTCCAAACCGCTAGACATTTCAGATTACAGTCTAGACACTTCCAGCTTCAGCAGCCCCTCTGAACGCATCTGGTGTTTGGGCCAAATGAAAGAATATTTAAGGTGACTCTGGGCTCTTCCAAGGAGCCAGAAAACTGCTCGAGGATCTAAAAATCTGGCGAATGTCCACTTTAAAAAAATATATATATTGAGTTTTAGAACCTAGCTAGGTACCTAACAGGAAACAAAATTTAAAGATATTCTACAATACAGATAAACAAAGACAGACCCTAAATCATTTTTAGCCCAGATCAAGCTTCCTTCTAGAACAGGGGAAGACGCTGGTTCCACGTGTTTGTCACTCAATTTTCCTTGGGCAAGAGAACTAGGGATTGTGGGGACAAATGCCTTCAAACAAAGGAGGTGAAGCAATTCAGGCTCACCTTCTAAAGCCTAAAGGTAAATAAACGTCTGATGTAAGAGACATTTGAGCTAATCCAAACGGAGACTGCATGTGACCTTTGGAGAACTTTTCCTTCCGCTCAAAGGACGGCTATTTGTAGATTTTTGTTATCACCGAGATGGGCTGTGTATCTTTTTAAATTTCACTGGTTAAAGAAAGTACATGTGTGTGGGAAATTGGATGTATGGGGATATGCAACAGAGGCTTAACTCAACTGATCTGGGATGTTCAAACCCTTTTTTTTTTCTTTAAATCTCGAAAGGATTGGCATTGGCCTGGCACCTTGGAGATAACTGGAGCTCCTGTGTTTGTCTACCTGAGGCCCTGGGATGCCCTAACAAGGGGGGGCTGGGGAGAGCGGGGGTCTGGAGAGCAGGGGCAGTCACTGTGGCCAGCCACAGCCACCTAAAGGGCTGCCGAGAGCAACCGGGCCCCAAAGCCCAGATGTCAACACTCCAAGGGGTCCCGGTGTTTTTGGGGAAATGGCTTCATTTTATCCATACATAGCCACTGGGAACAAGTAACTGAACTGTTTTAGTGGACTGTGTTTTCCTCCCATTTAGGTGGAGGGCAGGGAGCAGGGTAGGCCACACCAGTGGTACTCCTAGCTCTGTGCTCAGGAGCCCCTGTAGCAACAAGGACCGAACAGGGGTTGGCTGTGTGCAAAGCAAGCAAGCGCCTTGCCGCTGGACTATCTCTGACACCAGAGAAAACGCAGCGCTTCCCGTCCTTCCTTTTGGCCACTGCTGATCTCATCTGCTCTTTCTCTGAAAGCCACACCACAGGAGAGGTAGAACCACTTTTCTGGATTCTGGGAACTGCTGAACCAGATCTGGAAACCTCCGATCCAGGTCATGGGAATCCTTCCACCCAGCTGACCTTGGGGCTAACACGAAACAACGATGAGAATTGGTCTCGTTAAATACCAATGTGATACTGGCCTCAAAGGCCTGAATGCCCAGAGGAATAGTGACATATCTGAAAACAGAGCCCACGGAGGAGAGCCCAGTGCTCTGTTCCTCTACCGACTTTGAAACAGCCACTTTGAACCATTAAAACACAAGAAAGGCGCTGGAGCGATAGCACAGCGGGTAAAGCGTTTGCCTTGCATCCAACGAACCCAGGTTCCATTCCCAGCATCCCATATGGTCCCCTGAGCACCGCCAGGAGTAATTCCTGAGTGAAGAGCCAGGAGTAACCCCTGTGCATTGCCGGGTGTGACTCAAAAGGCAAAAGGGAAAAAAAAACACACACACACACAAGAAAGGGGTTGGAGCAATAGCACAGTGGGTAGGGCATTTGCCTTGCACACGGTTGACCCAGGTTCGATTCCCAGCATCTCATATGGTCCCCCGAGCACCGCCAGGAGTAACTCCTGAGTGTAGAGCCAGGAGTAACCCCTGAGCATCGCCAGGTGTGACCCCCCCCCCCACCAAAACAAAACAAAACAGAACACAAGAAAGATGTTGCATCTGCACCTTTCCGTACCCGCTCAACTAGAACAAAGAAATGTGTGCGTGTGCACACAGCACCCAGGAATGTGGCTCAGGGGTGGAGACTCTGCCTTGCATGTAAGATAAAGCGGCAACTCCCCCTGCGCCCCGCCTCCCCGCCATCTCCAGGCCCTTCTGAACTCTAGCTCCAGCTCAGCCACTGCACCCTGCAGCCCTGCACCTCGAATCAAGTGCCAACAGAAAAGCCTTCAATAGGGACAGGAGAGAGTGCAGCAGATATGACATTTGCCTTGCAAGCAGCTAACCAGGGTCCAATCCCTGGCATCCCATATAGTCCCCTGCGCACCGCCAGGAATAATTACTGACTGCAGAGCCCTAAGCATTGCCAGTTGTGGCCCAAAACAAGGGAAAAAGTTTAAGAAAGTGGAGGGAGGGTGGGGAGAGAGAGAGAGAGAGAGAGAGAGAGAGAGAGACAGAGACAGAGACAGAGACCTTCAAGAGCAAGGTTTCTTTTGAGAGATGAACACATTCATGGTTGCATAACATTATTTAAAAGGACCTTTCCAAGCTCTGAAGTAATTTAAAAGGGAAAAAAATGCCGACTTGCCCTTCAAAGATTAAGCTCAGAATTCAGTTTCCTGTTGGAGGCTTGAAGATCACAGAATAATCTTTCATAGACTTTCCAGTGAATCTAGGCTAGAGCAGGGATCTGCGTTTCTGAAAGACCACGGACCCCGTCAATGGTTCGGTTTCCTGTCTGGGCACTGCTGGGTGGGCGGGTGGATGAAGGAAGGCTGGCTCCACTAGAGGGTGCTGGTAACGACGATTAGGGTTTATGGACCACACTTGAGTTACAAAGAAGTAGATGATAATTTTTCAGTCACCCAAGAAATAAAAAGGCCTGACTCAAATTAAGTGTGGAATTAAGACAAAAGTTAAGGATTGGGGGGGGGGGGGGGGGGGGGGGGGGAGGGAGGGAAGAGAGAGTGAGCACACCCACGCCAGAATAGCAATGTAGCACTATTCTCCCATTGCTCATCGATTTGCTATAGTGGGCCCCAGTAACATCTCCAATGTGAGACTTATTACTGTTTTTTGGCACACTGAATACGCCACGGGGAGCTTGCCAGGCTCTGCGTGCAGGCGGGATACTCTTGGTAGCTTGCCGGGCTCTCTGAGAGGGATGGAGGAATCGAACCCAGGTCAGCCATGTGCAAGGCAAACGACCTACCTGCTGTGCTATTGCTTTGCACTTTGCAATAAAGTATCCAAATGTCACAAGATCAAAAGACAGAATCACAAAAATGATCAAAATGTCAGAAAACAAGAGAAAGATCTCCTTTCATCAAAAGAGCTAAACAGGGCCAGAGCAATGGTACAGTGAGCAGGGCGGAGTGTTTGCTTGCACGAGGTCGACCCAGGTTCAACCCCAGCATCTCCTCTGGTCCTCTGAGCACTGCCAGGAGTAATTCCTGAGCCCAGAGCCAGGAGTAACCCCTTAGCATTGCTGGGTATATGTAGCCCCAAAACAAAACAAACCCCGCAAAAAATAAATAAATAAATAAATAAATGCATTTAACACACTTGGCTATAACAGCTATCTGGCTTGAAACCATAAAAGAACCTGGGAATTTTACGCTGAGCAGGGCAAGATGTGTGGAACCCTCAGAAACTGGTTTGCTTCTCACCGTTCTAACTAAAAGCCTCGTGCTAGATTTCCCTCCTGTTTTTATCCGCAGAACCCATCCCCCCCCAGCCCCCGGAAGCCTGTGCTGCTACGGCCCATTGAAGAAATGAGGTGGAAAGTCCGAGATGAAGGACTTGCCGGCGAGGGGAAGAGAGGTGGCCTGTGCTCCAGAGACTTCCACAGACGCGGGAGACACTTACGTCACTCCCAGAAACAGCAGATGCTCTGGAACTGTGACTGACGCTAACAGGGCCACTACATCCACTTCACAGACCTTCATAAACAATCGTTGCAAGGAATCCTTGAGACAACACAAAGGATGACATTTCTGTGGGAGCTTCTTGGCCTTTGACTTGCTGAAGTCAGAGTTGCTCTGGACAGCCTCGCTTATGGCACTGAACCCCTGGGGCCAGCCCTAATCTGAGCATCCCGATGATGCTGAGGTGAGATTGTGTAACTGGGCACAGCATCCTTTTGGTTCTTTCAGGAGTTAAGTCCCCTGCAGCAAATTCCAGAATGAGTTTGTTGTCTGCTAATGACACATTAACCCTTGGTTACCATAGAATGTTCCAAGCACTACCAGACACGAGAACAGTTGGTGTTTTTACAGAGTGGGTCTATTACAATGAACAGCTAATAATAATTAGGGAAACAGACCCAAGTGGAGAACACAGAGTCCCCTCTCTCCTCAGACACCATGGTATCTCCCAGCCTGGAGCCCCCAAAAGGCCCTTTGGACGTCATTAAACTGAAAGACCCCTAAGGGTGGGATCTGGGCGGTGACATTCTTTGCTAATGGCCTCATCATTTCATTTTCCTTCGTATCTTAAGAATACAGAGAACAGACTCTTTCAACAAGAACTACAGGTGAGGCTCGCAACCGTGATGGGTTGCTCAGCTTTCAGTGGTGACACTGGACAGTCCCATGACAGAGTCCCCAGTTCAGGAGGAACTGAAGGAACTGTACTGTCATGACGATCATGGCTGAGGTCAAGGTTGGACTGTGACGTGGTATGATACGGTGCGACCATTATCTCAGGCCATTTCCTCTTCCTCTGTCTGGACTTGAAACTTCCCAAGGAAGATTTTGTAAAAATTAAACACTGCAACCTATTCCTTTCAGTATCAATAGTGCAAACCACAGGGCGGGGGGGGGGGGGGAGGGGGCAGGGAGGGAGGGAAGGAGGGAAGAAAAGTGACTGCCATAGAGGCAGCAGGGAGTGGGGGGTGATGGGAGGGAACCTGGGGACACTGGTGCTGGGAAATGTGCACAGGTGGAGGGATGGGTGTTGGAACACTGCAGGACTGAAATCCAATCGTGAACAGCTTTGTAATGATCTATCTCAGTGATTCAAAAAAGTAAAAAAAAAATAAATAAACACTGCATATAAAAAATAAAAAATTTAAAAACTGAGCAGTGGCACTCAATCCACAACATCTCTTCTGCCCAGATTCATGGCTGCATAAATACAAGAAAGATGGCCAGTGGCACAGGAAGACAGCCTCACTCTTTAACAATCGGAAGATAACGTATCAGGGATGGAACAATGACAAATTTCTTCCAAATATGCAAACACCTGTTACACATTTATACTTGACCTTTTCTTCTCCCACAGACCACTCTCATCCATAAAAGATGCAGCTTGTGACAATCTACAGAAACAGGAAAGGAAATTCACCCAATACCCATCTGATAAGGGGTTGATATCAAGGATATACAAGGCACTGATTGAACTCTACAAGAAAACATCAAATCCCATCAGAAAATGGGGCAATGAAATGAGTAGAAACTTTGTCAGAGAATAAATCCGAATGGCTAAAAGGCATATGAAAAAATGTTCTTCATCACTAATCAGCAGGGAGATGCAGATCAAAACAATGAGATATCATCTCACACCACAGCGACCAGCCCACATCCAAAAGAACAGAAACCAGTGTTGGCGCGGATGTGGGGAGAAAGGGACTCTCCTTCACTGCTGGTGGGAATGCCAACTGGTTCACACCTTTTGGAAAACAGTATGGACTTTTCTCAAAAAATTAGAAATCGATATCTCATTTGCCCCAGCAATACCACTTCTGGGAATATATACAGGAGATGCAAAAAAGTATAATAGAAATAATATCTGCACTTGGGGGCCGACATGGCCAACCTGAGTTTGATTCCTCCGCCCCTCTGAGAGCCCGACAAGCTACTGAGAGTACCTTGCCCGCACGGCAAAGCCTGGCAAGCTACCCATGACATATTTGATATGCCAAACACAGTAACAAGTCTCACAATGTTACTGGGCCCACTTGAGCAAATCGATGAATCTGGAATAAACCCAAGTGCCTGAGAACAGATGACTGGTTAAAGAAACTTTAGTATATCTACACAATGAAATACTATTACTACGCAGCTGTTAGAAAAGATAAAGTCATGAAATTTGCATATAAGTGGATCAACATGGAGAGTATCATGTTAAGTGAAAGAGTCAGAAAGAGAGGGATAGACATAAAAGGACTGCACTTATTTGTGGAATGAAAAGTAACAGAATGGGAAACTAACACCCAAGGATAGTAGAAATAAGGAAGCCAGCAGCACATGCTGGGGGAAAAGGAAACTCAGATAGAGAAGGATCCACCAAGTAAAGGATGCTGGGAGGGCCCGCTCGGGATGAGAGATGCGTGCTGAAAGTAGACTATAGACCGAACATGATGGCCACTCAATACCTTATTGAAAACCACAACACCCTACAGGAAAGAGAGAGCAAAAGGGAATGCCATGCCACGGAGGTGAGGCATAATGGGGGGATGGGGTGGAGGGGTGGGAGAGTTACTGGGTTCACTGGTGGTAGAGAATGGGCACTGGTGGAGGGATGGGTACTCAATCATTGTATGACTAAAACGTAAACGCAAACGTTTGTAAGTCTGTAACTGTACCTCACAATGAATTTAAAAATAAATAAATAAAAGATGCAGCTTGTGGCTATGACAAGCACCCCCTCCCCCCACCAAAAAAAAACCATGATTTACGTTCCTTACATTTATTTCAAAAACCATGGTTTCCTGGATAATAATAAACAAATAAAAGGCCCTCCCGTTGTTCGTCGATTTGCTCGAGCGGGCCCAGTAACGTCTCCATTGGAGACTGTTGTTACTGTGTCTGGCGTATCGAATACGTCACGGGGAGCTTGCCAGGCTCTGCCGTGCGGGCGAGATACTCTCGGTAGCTTGCCGGGCTCTCCGAGAGGGGCGGAGGAATCGAACTCGGGTTGGTCATGTTGGCTGCGTGCAAGGCAAACGCCCTACCGCTGTGCTATAAAAGGAGAAAACTGAAAATTATGATAGCTGCATCCTAGAAATTTGGGGGGGGGGGTCTCCCTATTACCAGCGGGCTGGCTTTAGGCCAGCAAGTGTGAACTTGGAAGCACCTTCCCAGGCCCCAGTGCCCACCCAGGCCTTTGGCCCTGCCCTGCCCCATGCTGTGTCTCAGCTGGAGACGGAGCCTCTGGACAAGAGTCTCAACATCCCCACTGATCCTGAACTCCCCAGAACCTCCAACAATCCTGCTTGTTCCAATGGCAGTATGGGCCAAGACAGCTGTCTCCCAGACTTAAAACTGATTTTTTTTAAACTATTATTTTTAGGAAGGCTGGAAAGCAACAAGACACAATATCTTGATGACTCCAGCATTTCCAGAGGGTCTCTCTCTCCCGCCCTTCCATTTCTGAGATTGCATTGGACTAGGAGAGGCTCCCACAACCCGATTAGTTGGAGACGGCACAGACAGAAGAATTTTCCTTTCTGGTGGGCTGGGGCATTTAGTACAGTGCGAAGGGTGCTTATCTCACCCGGGGTCAACCAGGGTTCAATCCTGGGCACCTCATTTGGTTGCCTGAGCCCTGGCAGGCGTGATCTCTGGCACAAAGCCACAAGTAAGCCCATACACTGCTGTGTGTGACCCCAAAACAACAGCAAACAATTCTTCTCTTTTGGGACCAGAGAGGCAGGAGAGAGGGCCGCGTGTTTGTGCCTTGCATGTGTGGCCGGGCCAGGTTTGATCCCAGGTACACCCCATATGGTTCCCCCAAGGGTAGCCCCAAACTATCCCCCTCCCCAAGAAATCAGTCTTTCTGAATCCTCTGGAGGCACACTCACTGCTCCGTCCACCCCCACTGCCATGCTACAGCTGCTGCCCGCTGCCTTCTCTCATAACCTCACGCAGACAATGTTCCAGGCACAGTGCAAATAACTTTATACTACTGCTCCATTTAATCTGCACAGTAACTTAAGGCAGGTCCTAACTTCTTCTTTTTAAATTCATGTAGCACAGATGAGAGCTCACGCCCAGAGAGAAACTCGCTCCCTGTGGTACCACGCGAGGTCTGTGCCCACACTGAATCCAGGTTCTCTTTGTGTCCATCGGGGCTTTTTAAATTCTCTACGTGTGCCTTTCCTAGCCATGGTCCCCACAATCATTAGAAATCAATCCCTTGGCAATTCAATCAGCCTAATCAGTGGCTGAATAAATAGCAGTATTCCTACATAAAATAAATAAATCACTTGGGTCAGGGAGATTGTACAGCGGGCAGAACATTTAATTGTGAACACTTAACACAGTCAACCCAGGTCCAATCCCCAGCACCCCACATGGTCCCCCAAACCTTCCAGGAATGATTCCTGAGCACAAAGCCAGGAGTATGTCCTGAGCACAGTCAGGTGTGGCCCCAAAACAAAATCAATCGCTTCAGTTCCTCGTCACCTTCTCTTTTCCTTCCTATTGATAGTCACCCCCCACCACCCCACCACACACACACACACACACACACACACACCTCCCGCACAAAGGAAGGGGAGGGGAGAGGCAGAAGGCGTACCTTTTCGGCGATGCCATTTTCTGTCGTATATATGGCCATGAGCTCGGTGTCCTCATTGTCCTGTTCGCCACTGGACGTGGCCCCTCCATTGATCACCACCTGAAGAGAAGATACTCAGCTTAGAGGCGGTTTCGACATCCCCTGCACTCCCTGAAGCATGACTACCCACCCTACCCCTCCAAATTTATCTTGTTTCCCAAAAAGAGATCAAAATTTAAAAATTTGAAAAAAAAAAAAACTTTTTCCGTGTCTCCTTGCTAAGTTCGCAGTTTTTGTGAATGAAACCTATGAGAGCCTGTGGCCTTCCCCAACTAGGCATGTGTCCCAGTGGAGATATGTCCTGCCCTGGAGGATGCACAGGGAACAGCAGGGGGCCAGAGGGCCACTGTGCACTGCCCGGGGAAGGCCCCTAACCCCAGCTTGCTGCTCACATTTCTCACAGGTCTGCCGGTATGTGCGTCTCCTTACACCACAGGGGGAAGAGGGATGCAACAACAGACGGACGGAACGACACACACACGACAGGGACAGGCTGTCTGTGTCAACAAGATCTAGTGCCAGGTCTTCAAAGCGTGGCCCAGAGCTCATCCCTGGGTAACTCGAAGTCCAGAGAACCCTGCAGGCCACGCACCCCTCAGCCCTTCCTGTCCCGGGTCCCCCAGCACAAAGAACCCAGGTCCACCTGCCTGCAGTCAGAACCTCAGCAGTCCATCTCGAATCAAACGGGGCCACGGTAGGAAACTGAGGTGAAAGACACTCTCCAAAAATACTGTCAGTGGGACTGGACCGATAGCACAGTGGGTAGGGCATTTGCCTTGCATGCGGCCGACCCGGGTTCGAGTCCCAGCATATCCGATATGGTCCCCCAAGCACTGCCAGGAGTGATTCCTGAGTGCAGAGCTAGGAGTAACCCCTGTGGAACACCCTGTCAGAAGGAGAAACAACTGAACCTTTTTTGTTGTTTGTCTGACTCATGGTGGGGGAGCTGCCCAGCAGGCCCGAAGCCTGAGTGCGGACCAGGCACGACCTGCACGTGGCACTGCGGTGACCCCAGTGGTTCTGGCCGCTGGGGAAGCCCCTCTCCCAGCCCGCGCAACGCCCCCGCCCCACCCCGATGATGAGGGAAACAAGAGAAAAGGGGTGAGGGACACAGCTCAGAGATTCTGCCCTCCACCAAAGGAAATTTGAAGAACAGGGCAGGGGGTTGGGGGTTGTGGAGAGATAGTTCAGTGGGTAGGGCACTTTGCCTTGTATGCAGCCGACCCAGCATCCCGTATGATCACCCAAGAACCCAGGAAGTGAGAGGTGTGAGGAAGAATAGCACTGCACCGTAGCACTGTCCTCCCATTGTTCACTGAGTTGCTCAAGCGGGTCCAGTAACGTCTCCATCATGAGACTTCTTGTTACTGTGTTTGGCATATCGAATACGTCACAGGGAGCTTGCCAGGCTTTGCCATGCAGGCGAAATATTCTTGGTAGCTTGCCGGGTCTTCCCGAGAGGGACGGAGGAATCGAACCCGGGTCAGCCGGATCGGCAGCATGCAAGGCAAACGCTCTAGCTGCTGGGCTATCACTCCAGCCCCAGAGGAAGACTAGTAATCAAAAAAGGTTTACATTATGGGGCAAGAGCAACAGGACAGCAGGCAGGGCATTTGCCTTCCATGTGGTCAACCTGGGTTTGATCCCTGGTATCCCACATGGACCCCAAGCACCACGAGGAGTAATTCCTGAGCATCACCGGTAGGACCCAAAGAGCAAAAACAAGTTTTTTATGTTTACATTAAAGAAAAAAAAAATTAAGTGAGAGTGTGAAAGAAAATTAAGTGCTCCACTAACAATGGACCAGTGTGAGCAATTTCTAAGGAACGCCTGCAAAAATCCACAGGCACGATCCAAAGGAAAACAGGCAAAGAACAGAATACGAAAACTAAAGAATCCTATGAAACACTTTGAAAAGCTGTTCAACCACATGTAAAATGACGAATTCTTTTTTTTTTTGAGAGGGGGAGGGCTTTTAGGGTTACACCCAGTGATGCACAGGGGTTACTCCTGGCTTGCACTCGGAATTACCCCTGGTGGTGCTCAGGGGACCATATGGGATGCTGGGAATCGAACCCAGGTTGGCCTCGCGCAAGGCAAACACCCTACCTGCTGCGCTATCACTCTGGTCCCATGACAAATTCTTAAAACCAAAAATACAAGGCTTTATTTAGTCCACAGGGATGAGGAGAAATTATGAAAGAGAAACCTGATAGTGGCCAACTCTGAGGGGTCTCTGTCCTTGTAAGATGGCCTCTGGGGAGGATGGCTGAGCACCAAGATCTGAACAGACTTTTTTCCTACATCCATACAATATACTCATAGAAACTTAGCCTCCAGAAATATCTATTAATTAGTATGTCCATTCAAATCTTATAATTAGAGTATCACTTACACTGCAGAATAATTGGAAACAACCTAAAAGTTGATCAAAAAGGACAGATGTGTTCAATTATGGCCACACCTACGGGAGAGTAATGTTGTCATACAATAAAGGATTTTTTTCCCCCTTTACAAAAGCATGAAAGGGTTAAATAGTACAGCGGCAGGGCATCTGCCTTGAGAGCAGCCAACCAAAAGCTCCATCCCCGGAACCCCAGATGGGTTCCTTGAGCCCACCAGAGTGATCCCTGAGTACAGAGCCAGAAATAAGCCCTGAGCACTGCTGAGTGTAGTCCCAAAACAAAATTTAAATAAGGGGAAGCACAGACTAGTAAGAACAGTCAAAGTCCAATTATCCCAATTGTGTGTGAAATTCAAGTTAATTTTGATTATGCCCTGTTGGCATAATCAGCAAAGGTACCCAGAAAGGTCGGTCACAAGCCCATAGGCAGGGTGACAGACGGGGAGGAGAGCCCCAGTGGGCACCCTTTCCTGCTCTCCCTTGGCTCTGGACCATGGCCTGTACTCATGCTGCTTCTTTAAATATGATAAAAGAGGGGTGGGAGGGGATGGTACAGTGGTAGGGTGCATAGCTGGTGGCCAGGTTCCAACCCTGGTATCCCATATGCCACCCCAACCCCACCAGAAATAATTTCCAAGTGCAGAGCCAGGAATGATCCCTGAAGCACAGAGGCAGGAGTAAGCCCTGAGCACCACTGGGTGTGACCCACCCACCCACCCACCAGACAAGATGCAAACGACATAATGGAAAATGCCACCACCAAGTTATTACCAGGGGATTGTTTTCACTTCCAGAAATGGTAAGGCCATTTTCCTTTCTTTTTTCTCTTCAGAGATTTTGGTAAGTTTATGTAATGAGGACATTCTATTTTTACGATGGGGAAGAAGTGAAGAGATTTGAGATCCTGCGGCACAGTTCCCAGGGAGGGGGTCCAGAGATTTCCATCTACTTGGTTTTGTAGTTGAGGAAAGCAGGCCAGCAAAAACTTAAATCTCATTCGGGGTCACAGAGATTAGACCTTAAATTTGAAGTCGGTTTCAAAGAACGACAGCGCTCCCACATTAGACACTACATTAATTTCTGTAAAGCAAATGTTTCTTGGAACAATTCAAATAAAGACTTGCTTTTGGAGCTATACCCTTTGGCACCAGACAACTGGGTTTGTAGCATTTGGCTTGCCGTTATTGAAACTAGCTGCCAAGTTCGGGACACAGCGGGCAGGGAGTTGGCCTTTGCATGCAGCACCTGACCCAGGTTCGATCCCTGGCACCACCTATGGTCCCCCGAGCCCCACTGAGAGTGATCCCAGAGCCAGGAGTAAGGCCTTGAGCACAGCTGGCAGTGGCCCCAAAATACAAACAAACAAAAATACTAGCTGCCAGCAGATTACATGTTCCCAAGCAAGACCTTTCTCTTTCTCTGTTTTTAATTTAAGTGTCCCAGCTCGTTTCTCGGGGAGCCGTGTACTGCTGGGGTTGAGCCTGGGCCTCCCGCGTGCCAAGCGTGTGCTCCGGCCCCTGAGCCGTGCCTCAGGCCTTCCCACACAGTGGACAGACTCAGGATGAACTCGCCCAGGGCAGCATTCAGGCTAAACTCCAGAAGCCGGGAGCACTGGAGTACACACATCTCGAAAGCTACAGTGAGCTGGGGGTTTCCACGGGGCTTCCCTTGTGGTCCCCCGAGCACTGCCAGGAGCGATTCCTGAGTGCAGAGCCAAGCCGGTCAGGGTTGTGGGCCTGAAGCACTTGCCCTGCTCCGGTGAGGCCCGGGTTCAATTCCCATCACTGGGAGTTCCCCAGAACAACGCAAGGAGTGAGGTGTGACCCACAACCCAAACACCAATGAACCAGGAAAAGAGCTGCAAGGGCCGGGGTCCCAGAATGACCTGCACAAGGCTCCCGGTCTGGGCCCTGGCTCTGGTGGTGACCTGAGTAAGCACTTCATGTAGCCCTGGTGGCCTAAGATAGACAGATGACAGATACATGTTCCCAAGCAAGACAGACAGGTAGAGAGATGATCGGGCAGATAGAACGGTTTTGTTCTAGACAGACAGATGGTAGAATGGTTTCATTTTGTTCTGTGACTCTGAAGTCAGTAACTGTATTCATTACCTCAGATTGGCTGGCAACTACAGAACTCTGACTCCACAGGGGACCATTACAGTAGCGTGCATCTGTGCCTCTCCAGTCTGAGAGCTGGGGGCTGCAGAAAGGTGGCCGGGGGAGTGGGTGGAGGCTGGGGGCTGGGGGAGCAGCATGCGTGTATGTGGACACACTCTCCAGAGGCAAACACTGGACAATGAAGGACAGTGACTGGAGAGCCAGGGTGATAGCACAGCGTGTAGGGCACTTGCCGCACACGCGGCTGACCTGGGTTCAATCCCCGGTATCACAGAGTCCCCCCAGGACACCAGGAATGATCCCTCAGTGCAGAGCCAGGAGTAGCCCCTCAGCCCAACCAGCTGTGGGCACCCCCCCAAAAAACATTAAAAAGAGGGGCAGGGCCCTGTGCCAATGTTCAGAAAAATCATCCAGTTCAGAGATTGCAAGGATAGAAACTTGAGGGATCCCCCCGGGGGGAGGAGGGTGCTGCTCAGACAGGCACCACTGGCTGCAGTTCCCTCAGCTGGATCTGGGACGAGACTCCCGAGTACAAT